TGTCGACCAAAACCATTCTGCTCTTGGTGTCATTGACAGTTGTATAAAAATCTTAAGAGACTTAAACCAACCACAAGGTGGTGAAGCAAATGAAATGTCATATGACGACAAATATAGACATTTCTCCATGGCAAAGATGAGACAAGTTTTAAATATTTACAATAACCGTAAACAAAAAGGTTTGGGAAACCACTCCCCCGAAGAAATGAAAAACAACCCTGACTTAGAGAAAGACTATATATTTAATAGTTTAGTCAAAAGAGACAAACAAGAAAGAATGCCAGGCTTCAAACTTAAGAAAGGTGACAAAGTAAAAATAGAAATACCTAAACGCGACCCATATGAAAATACTATTGACTATGACAACAATGGGAACCCGACAGGTACTCACCTTCGTGTTCGTAAAATAGAAGAAAGTATACAAGAGAATATTATGAAGTTTTAGGCAAACATGGCAAAATGTACAGACTGCAAGCAGAAGATAAAACTACTATTGTCAGACCTCGTTTCAAACTTGTCAAAGTTCAAGGTGGTATACTTTCAAAGACAGTTCCTAACAAATATAAGACAACTCCTGACGAATATGCTAAAGAAGTTGAAAATGACGACTAAGCAATTCTATACCATGCGTAAACTGTCATGTAAGGTGGCATGTAGTCTTTACTTTGTCCCGTTGTTTGTGTATATCCTGTAACGCGATGTGTATGGTTTCCATCTCCCTGAGTGTCACTCCAGTAACAATTTATAGCAAACTGAACGTCGTCTTTAACATCATATCCTTTACCTTTTTTCAAGGCGTGCCAATCCCAAAATTTATGCTTATGCCAACCTGCTTGAGATGTACTTAAATCTACGTAGTGACTGTGTGCAGGTAGGTTTTCACCTGAAATCGTTTTACTTCCGCCTGTTTCCTTTGAAGAGTTTGCACAATACAAAAACCTGTCGACTATTTGAGTCCAAGTTCCGAGACCAAGTACTACTTCTGGTCTGGTAGAGTTCATTGACGTATAAATAGAGCCTATAGGATATAATGTTTGAAGTATTTCTGTCTTTAATGTTTGAAGCTCTGTTTTGTCTGCTTTCTTGTCATATAAATCTTGAGCAGTGAATTTAATATTATGTTCATCCTTCATGACATAAACATCTTTACATCTAATGTTTAACATCGTCGTTATGTCGTCATCCGATGTTAAACCTTGTGGAAAGTTAGGAGGTTTACAATATATTGCATCCCCACCATTTTCTTCAACCGTTCCTTCAATACTTTCTATAGCAACAGTTGTAAAACTTGTATGTGTATGGTTCTTGTCTGCTTTCTTCTCTAACTCATCGTTAACATAAGTTTTATCTGCTTTAAGGTCTAAACATCCTGAAACCCATCCTGTATCGGCTTTAACTTTAAAAGTCTCCGATGTCCATTCATGGTACCAGTCAACCCTTTTTTTCATTTCGTTATCTTTTTCATCCACATATTCCTTATCCGCTTTCTTCTCTAACTTACTAGCCACATATTCCTTATCTGCTTTCTTTTCAAGGCTAACGTTTAAGTCTGTTATTTCAGATATAGAATGTGTATGAGTCTTTTTAGAATATTCGTTTTCAGCTCTTGTCACTTCACTTGACATTTTATTGTCAACATATGTTTTGTCTGCTAGTTCAGGATGAGTATGTTCTTTTGTTGCATAAGCATTGTTAGCTCTTTCTTCTTCTTTTGCTATTGCATCGTCTACATATTCTTTGTCAGCTTTGTTGTCAACATCCGTTTTCAAAAGAAGTTCATTTATAGGTTTCTCGTTTAAAGTTCCTTTTGTTGGATTTATACAGACAGTATGGTTCTTATTGTCTTGAAACAGAAACTCATCTGTCATTGGGTTTAATGTCAGTTTTAAGTTTCCTTCTTTCAATGACTCAGATATCTTAGAATAGTTTTGAAAAGTTTGTTGTGTTCTTATTTAGAGCTTGCAAAATGAGTTGTCGGTTGTGTTGTATTTCTCTCATGGAAGCAATATCTTTCGACATTTTTATTCTAGATAAAATATGCTTCCAATAGAAAAAGAAAATTCAAGAGTTGCTACAACTAAACCATTAGATGAACTTTTTACTAATGTCGGTCAAAAGTTTGAGACAGAGACCGTAAAGCATGAAGGCTATCGTTTTGACTACCCATTAAGATGGCTAAGAGACCCATCTGTCACAAAAGCTATTGGCTTTCGTAGAATGAAGTTTGTGTCTGTAGAAGATAAAAGTTTTCCATTTATTGTAAGGTTTCATATAGATTATATATCTGAAGGGAAACGAAAAATGTGGGAAGAAATTGAGCTAATACAAGTTGACCTTTCATCTTCTCTACAGACTGCGTTAAAAAATATAGAAGATAAAATAAATTCATGTTATGCAAAATATGCTGATGAATATGCAAATACCGAGAGCACACTTTATGTGAGAATTGTATATGACAAACAAAATTCACAAGTGTCATTTCAAATCTACGAAGACAATCCAAAGAAAGACGAACAAATATATACAGAATTCACTGCAATGTCATGGTATTATTTGCAAAGAATGTTAAATCAGAAAGTCAAACTTCCTTTAGCAAATATTTACAGTCGATATGCAAGAGATGAACCATATTTATTTAAAGATGTTTTCGACCCAGCTGCTATTATTGTTCATGCTTCATTTTCTGGCGCTCAAAACTCTTTCTTATGCTTGGCAAATGACTTTTACGAAAAACCTACAAAGTTATACGAACCACCAAGTGGAAGTATTTCAGACTTTCAAGTATGGTTTACTACAGATGGAAGAAAAAGAATAATTCCATTATACCATGCGTTTTACTTAGAACTTAGTTTCATATACAACTACTATCGAACGGTAAAAATATAATTTTTTAATACGGTTGAGGTGTTGGATTTGGTTGCCAACTAGACTGTGGTGCAGGTTCAGGCTGTTGTATAACAGGAGCTTGCTCTTCTGGTTCAGGGTCTTTAGGTATAATACCAACAAACTGACCTACCCTTTTACCAATATTTTTGACTCCGTTCCAAATTCCTCTTCCGACAGATTTTATTCCATTCCATATACCTCTTCCAACATTTCGAAAGAAGTTTCCTATCTTACTGAAGAAACCCATTTTACTATATGTAAAAATCTAATGTCCGCCTAGTCTCTTACGTTTCCTGTTGAGTTCCATAGCATTCTTTAACTGGAGCTCATACATTCTGTTTCTCCTCTGGTAGAAAACATATTCTGGGTCAACTCCTGTGTTCGCGTCATCTGCATAAAGTTGTTTATATCCCACTTCGGGGTTTGTATAAAACTCTTTCCATCTCATATTTGCATACCATGGTGGCAAACCTAACGCAGCGTCATTTGACATGGCAGTTTGCATTTGTACATCTGTTGGCACTTGACCATAGTTTGCCATTGCAGTTTGTATTCTAACTTCATTTGGAATATTCTCTGGGTTTGGTTGTCCAGGTTGCTGTGCATTCGCTAAGTTCTGTGCGTCCATTTAATATTAGATAAAAATATCTCTTACGAGTACATATACTGAACATTTGCAGGCATTGGTTCATCTTCATATTCTCTGTACTTTTCTGCCACGTCAAATAAGTAAATGACACAATGGAAAAAACCTAAAACAAGTAGTCCTATTTCAAACCACATTTACTTACTAGTAAAATTTCTTTGTTATGACACTTTCTCCAGTTTATAGGACCTCTCTCATATTCTATCTTATCGTATCTAAACTCATAGTCATGTATGTCCTCTAACCATCTCATGACACTTTCCAAACCACTTTTATCGGATGTAAAGTAAAAGCATGGATGGTTATGTAAAACGTCTAAAGTTTCTAAAGAGTCTCTCAAAGTCCAGTCTACTTGGTATTGAAAATCCCATGTGTTATAGAACGGCGGGTCCACTATAAAGAAAACATTTTCCTTGTCTTTATATTTTTCATACAACTCTGTCCAATGACATCTCACAAACTCTATACCCTCAATATATTTTTCTATGTTCTCTTTGAAAACATTTGTATAGTTAAGATATAAAACTTTTGACATAAGTGTTTCAATGTCATGAACTCTTATAGCACCACTATATAATAGTCTAGCAGATATACTATCCCAGTCAATATACTCTGCCTTTTTCAAAACCTCTCTGACAGTATTTTTCTTATCTAATGGTATACGTTCCATCTTACCTATAGGTATCTTTTCTTTTAACTCTTTCAATATTTTGTTTGTGTCTGGTATATGTTTGAGACGGTTCATATAGTTGTCGAAGTCATTGCATATAATCTTTGAGTCAGGAAATATTGTATGGCACAAATGAGATATATAGAAACTTCCACCGAACAAGTCTACAAATGTTAGACCATTCGGTAGTTTCTTAAGTTCTCTCAATAGAATATCTTTACATCTACTCTTATTTCCAAAGAAGGGTAACGGTGGTTTTGTAAAATTCATTTTATATATATAATAAAAATGTTTTTTCCTGAAAAGTGACAGAAAAGTGACGGGGGGCTAGAGGGCACGAAGTGCCTGGAAGCCCCACTCCCTTTTTTTTTTTTTTTTTTTTTTTTTCTGTAGTTTCTTTGGCCGCATTTTGTATTTGATTTTGTAAAGTTTGTATTTCTGTTTGAAGTTTTTTGATTTATTAAAATTTGAAAGTCCTAAGTTAACTTAGAAAGTGTATGTTTTCTAGAATTCCAAGATTTTATTAGAGTTTTTTTAAAATTTCATTTTCAAATTTGATAGTAAAACAAAACTATTAAACAGATGAATCCATATATATAAATTTATGACTTTTCTAATACTCATGCAGCCTTTTATTTAAAAAAATAGCAGATTTTTATCTGAATCGAAAGATCTGAAACTAAATTTAGGATAAATCAGAAAATATAGGTGAGCCTTTAGGCTTGTAGTTTGAAATAATATATTTTTAGTAATATAAAGCTTTTCGTAACTATTTATAACTAAATTTTACGTAACATTTTAATATCTCTTCATAGCCAACCTCTGCAGAAGCATTTGTCTATCCTTGTTGCTTAAGTTCGCGCGTATTTCTACGATTTTCTTTGCAATTGCTCTATAAACATCTTTACGTTTCGGATATTGTGGATATATTGGGACACGGTTTCCTGTAGCCTCATCTTTCTTATAGAAGGTGATCGCTGCTCGGCCAAATTTCCAAAAATTCCTTGGATGTCTTTTCTGCATTGAGTAAATACCTTCAAAACCAAGCTCGAATATTGCCCTAGAAATTTCCTCTATGAATGGATTCTGAACGCATTGCTCTTTCGGAAGTTTACGTCCTTGAAACTCTGTCATTTCGTTGTCTATGTAGCAGGGGTATATAAATATTCTATTGTGATTCATTGAACCATCAACTCTCTCCATTGGCTGTTGCATCATCTCAGGAGGTGGCTGTTGAACTACAACGCGTTGACGTCTTCCAGACATTTTAAGAAAAGTGACGGATATTGTCAGATTGATGGCAGTTAGTGCTTTCACATTTCGCTTCACATATTATATGGTTTTAGAATAGTTGAGAAATACTCACTTAAATGAAATAAATATCAGCAAAAATTACCATTTTTCAATTCGATCCACAAGAGAGTCATATGCTCTTTTGACGGCTGTTATGCGTCATTCTAGGGGACATTATCTGTGCAAGTATTCCGGAATGACACAAAGTTCTCCAATAAGAATTCGATAGCGGAAGTTCGAGCGACAAGAGAGGCATGCGCTCTGTTGTCAGTCTTCATATATAATTCTGGATCATTATTCTAAATAATTTAAAAAATTTAAATTCTCATAAATTATATAAGTTGCGTGGTGCTTTCAAGTATAGTTTCTTCATACTGCATTTTGGAGTTGGATAAGATTTTTCTCCATACAGGATCCATACAATGTGCAATTGAATCGTTCAAAGCTCCTAATAATTCTCGGAACATCTAAAATAAGTATCAACACTAAATATATAAACATTCCATCATATTCAATTCAATTGTGTTTAATAATAGTTTCTGCCAGTTTGTTAAGAGCTTTGGCTTTATCATTTATGGATCACTTCATTCAATAAGTTTTGGGATATGAGCCCTTAACACTAGATTTTTATTAAGGCATATACTTGTGTGAAATGCTCAGAAAATTATCTTTATAACATTGAATTTCCTATATAATAAAAGTTATGAATATATTTTTCTATTAATAAGTTCCTTTCCAAAACAACTGTGTTTGTAATATCTAAAGAAATTAAATAATCTTTTATAAAAATAATCCTTCTATAAATAAAATATATAATAATAAATAATAAATTACTGCATAATCTTATTAATTCTATTAAGTTTTGTCTTAGTTGAGCTGCACATTTGTCTAATTATAGGAACAGCCTGAGGATCTAAGCTCAAAATATGTCTGAACACTTGAATCATTGTGTCATACAATTCACCAACAACTCCCATATTCTGGAGGTGTTTATTATCATAGCTAAACAATCTTCCAAAACCTAAAGCCAAAGCTCTCAACAAACTAGCAGAAATATTTTGTCTGTAATCCAACAAAACACCAATATTTCCACACATGGCAGCAGTTAGTTCTTCATCTTCATGAGGGAATTGTTCGATGACTGATATGAGAACATTATCTGGGAATTCAGGAATTAATATTCCAAGAACTAAGAACAAACCAGACAAGTTCATTATCAAGTCATTATATCCACTCTTGTTTTGAAGAGCAACATCCCACCATTTCTTTAGTTTCTCGATTGTTTGGTAAACAAGATTAGCAACTTCTTGGTTCTGTGTGATGAAAACATTGAATATATGGACAATGTTTTCTTGCATTGCTGGATCTTCGCTTTCTTCCATTTCATTTGAAACATTTTGAATGATTTGTTCTTTTAATTCATTATTTAATTCATTGTTCAAAACAATATCACTCAAAGCGCCGATTGCCTTGCATTTATCTATTTCACTATCTCTTTTCATCCATTCTAACAAGAAGACAGTAATTTCATCTGAAATTGGAGCTCTATTTGAAACTAAACTTGCAATTAATTGGCAAACAGAAGGGAACAAACCAATTGTTGTATCTGTTTCGATTAAAGGAATTTGTCCGAGAAGTTCTATATTTCCATTAATTATATTATTCAATAAATTCATTCCTTCGTTTACCATGTGTTCATCACCATTAGATTTCGAGATCAACTTACTCAAACAGAACAAAGATTTTGTAACAAAATTAGTTGTTACATCTTGATTTACTATTTCAAGTAAATGATCGAAAGCTTCTTTTCTTGTGTTTTCGTCAAGATCTCTTGCCAATCTTCTGAATCCTTCAACACTTTCGATTTGGAAATCGTTCTTTTCTTTCAAGAAATTCATCAAAATTTCAATAGTTTGTTGGCCAAATTTATTTGTGATTTCTTCACTTTGACTGTAATGAACAACGTCGCAAATGAACTCCAAAGCAGTGGATCTAACTCTATGATCCATCTCGTTGTTGTTTATCAGGTTGAATATGTAATCCAAGTAATTAACAACGTAATTCATTTCTTCGCCTTTGAAAATTTCGACGATAGAAATTAAAAATTCAATCATCAAAGAAATGACATCAGGAGATTCATATTCCAAACAAGGCTGTATGTTATCAGCAATAATAGGCCATATGTCTTCTATTAATTCACCATCTTTCTTTATCAAAGCAGTCATAATCAATGTAGAACTTGAAATAGTTGTCACGTTTTCTGATTGAGAAATTTCTTTGAGCAAATTCAACAATTTTTCGGTTTCTTCATCAGGAAAATCTTCTGAAAGGTCGATGGAATAAGCAACCAATGTGAAATAGTTCGTTATATCATCTTCTGTGACATTCTCGTAGAGTTCGACAGCCATTTGGAACAATTCCGGCATTTTACAATCGATTCTTTCGACCAAAACTAAAATTGCTTTGTAAGCAGCACTTTTTACTTCATTTGTCTGGGAAATCAAGAGAGGAACAATCTTGGGAAGTAAGCTAGGAATGTATACATTCATGGAGGCAAACGTTTGGTCGAATGTCTCCAAAACTAATAGTGCAGAATGTTGAATAATTGGAAACTCGTTTTTATCCAACGCTTCTTTCAAACAATCTACAATTAACTGGGAATCTTTAAGAGCAAATTCAGGTGTAGTAGTAATAATTGCCCTTAAAACTAACATGGCTGCCGCTTGATGCTCAATTGAATCGGATTGTAAAGCATTCAATAATTGGCCGACCAACATTGGATAAGTTTCTGAGTGGCTTTGGGAATCAAGGATTGTTTCGAAGAGGGAAAGTTGGTCAACAGGTAGAAGTTGTTCTTCTATGATCGTATTCGCGGCAATGTCAATCGCGACGGTTAAAATTTGGCCGATTTCTTCTTGAGATAAAACGTGAAGGCCATTTGAGATCGCTGTGAGGATAATGTTCCTCTTTTGGGCTGAGACGTCGGAATTGCTGGCAAATCCGAATCCTGTCTGCATCAATGTTGATAAATAATCTGGTTTGCATTTTTGAGAGCCTGCAATGTCACCAACAAGAGACCAGAGCTGTGAAAAGTCTTGTGGTTGGTAGTTCAGTGATTCTTGCTCCATGCTGTTGATGATTTGATATGGTTCTTGAGAATCTGTGATTAAATCTGTTGTTTCTGCGGCATCTTCTTCGTCTTCGTCGATTTGTGCAAGGAAGAAGCCGAAAAGAGCAAGACCGCCTAACTTAATTGTAATTTTATCTGAATGTAAGTAATTCATGATTAAATTTAGTAAATGTTCGTATGCTTCTTCGAAAAATCCACTGTGAAGAGATAATGCGATCTTAACAAAGCATGCACTCGAGATTAATGGCTTTGATAAAGCGTTTTCTAAGAGATATGAAACTAATTCTGGCCATTTTCCTTCGCTTTGCGTATAAACTATTTCGACAAGCTGTGCAACTGATTCAACATCGTATGGATATACTTCATTAGCGAGAATTTGCATAATGTAATTTTTGATATCTTCTTTTGATTGTTCGTCGTATGCTTTCCAGAATTTGAAAACAACTTTATAAGCGTAAACGATTGAACCATGCCTTATGCGATTATCAGATGTGAGAAGGTATAATTTGAAAAATAAATCAGCAGAAGTTGGATCATTTAAGATAGGACCTAACTGCTCGGTTGACTGTTCAACAGTAGCTGCATTTAATGTTGCTTGGATGAGTGCTTGAAGATTCTCAATATCACTCATCCCTTGTGTTTTGACAAAATTTTAGTCCTCATGCTCAAATTAGAAATTTTCATGAATAAACAAGATAAATAAGCTTACTATCAACACAAACGCAATTTTAATTTAAAATGATGCCAAAATTTCAAGAATTTAATATAAATTCAAAATCAAATTAATTATAGATCAATGTTTTTAGCTTGTGGGTACAATATTTCTTTATAAATTAGTATTGGTATATATAAAAATTTGATTGTTTGAAATCTAACAAAAAATTCCAAATATTTATATTAACAAATAAATAATAAATAACATAAAAATTATTATTCAATCTGTTTCTTAACAGCTGTGAGGTTATCAAGAAGTGCAGCAAGCTCTTTTGGTAAATTAAGCTTATTGCATCTTGGATCCTTGGAATTAGCTTCAACTTGGGTCTCAAGAGCTTTCATTTTCTCTTCTGCTTCACCAATGGTATGAGTTAATTGATCTAAGTTCTTTCTTACATCTTCAATATTAACTCTAATATTATCAATATCTTTCTTTGTATCCGCATTCTGTTTATCTATATCATCGATCTGGCTCTTCTTAAAAGCAATCAAATTCTTGAGGAGATTGCACTGTGCTTCAAGGTCATTCAAAACTCCAAATTGCTCATTGCATTTTTCGGCAGATTGTTGAATTTCTGCTTTGATTTCGCGCTTCTTCTTGCGAAGTTGTTCAATAAGATCCTTTTGCTTCTGATTTTCTTGCTTTTTAGCATTAATATCGTTATTAAATTTCTTTTCCATGGAATTTTTAATTGATCTACCTCTCTCAGCTTTGGCTTTAAGAACATTGAATTCTGCAACAAGTTTTGCATTCTTTTGTAGAAGATCACCTAATGAATTGATTGCTTCTTTTTTAGCAGCTTCAATTGATATAATTTCCATTTCAAGCTTTGCATTTCTTGATTTAATTGCGTCTAGTGAGATATTTGGAGCAGGAATATCAGGTTCTTCAGCTAAAATTTCTAAAATATCTTTCTGTTCAAGAGCATTATACTTAGAAGTATAAGCATTTCGTATTTGTTGTAATAATGCCTTTCTTTGATCTCTATCTTCGACTAAATTAACTCTAACATTTGAAATGTCTCCTTCTTGCTGATCTCTTATTGTTTTCTGTTCTTCTATTTCGTTATTAAGAGCTATTTGCTGTTGGTCATTAAATTCTGTCATTCCATCGCCAAATTTAACTTGTAATTGGTGTAAATTGATTGGAGATACTTCTTCTATGAAAGCGATTTCTTGTTTTTGTAATTCATCAAGCTCGAAATGATCAGCTTGAGAAAGTCCATCAACAGCTGCAGCTTCATCAACATCGCCTTGATCGTTAATTAATTGTTTCGTTTTCTCTTGAAGATCTTTAATCTTCTTATTTGTTTCTTCTTCGTACATTGCAATAGCTCTACGCAAACGACGAATTGCAGCATCGACTGATGGTCCATCGGAATTTGGTTCAACTCCTGCACGATCTTGAACGAAACGAATTTCTGCATCAAGGAAGTATAATTGCTGTTGTAAGTTATGAACGTATTCGTCAGCTAAATACTCGCTTTGCGGTGGTAATTGTGGTGGAGGAATTACTTGTTGAGGTTGCTGCTTCTTAAAAGTCTTAGTTGTTAGCATATATCCGGTTCCTTCGACCTCCTGTAGCGTACATTTGGCTGGTTCTGTTTGTAACTTGCCAGACTTCGTGCGATGTCGAGAAGTCCTCATTATACGTTAAGAAATTTTGATGTCAAAAAAATTAATTTGACGCGTAAAGTAGGAAGAAAAGTGACAATATGATTTTTTATCACATGGGTTTATTTAGAAATGATGGGTATGAAGATTCACAAGTTACAGTAGGATATTTGATACTCAGATTCATTTTCCTATCATCTACCTTCATATTCATTATTTACATTTTATTTAATAATAATAGAACACGTTTTGAGAGTCCAGATAGATATTTTAAAGGTGCAGTTAAATGTCCAGAGAATGGATATTGCTATAGTGGACAGCTTTTTTGCAAAAATGGTTTTAGACGAAGAGGATATAAATGTGAGAAAGATCCAAATGCTATTGATGTAGATGATAGAATCAAAAAGATCATAAAGTACATAAGAAGTCATCCAGATACTCACTGCGAAAAAAGTATTATTTTTAATTTCGAAGATTTCAAAGATATGCTCAAGGATATATCCAATGATTTAACTGATAACTTCGGCGCCTTCAGGGGTATGCTATATAATGCAACAGATATTAAAATTAATTCAAGAAGTGAAATTTATTCAACAAATCCTGATCAAACACTTCAATGCAGAATTGAAAAATACATTGATGAGAACTATTCATTAGTTATATTATTCCTTATTAATGTAATTTTGATTTGTTTCATTATTTTAATTTATAATCGCAAAAAGTCAATTAATAAGTCATCAGCTACATACGCTGACTATATTATTAGTAAACTATCTGAAAGCAAGCGTGCAGGAATTGATGTTTATCGTCCTGCTCAAGAATTCAGACCTACAAAGGATTCTCCTCTCTACTCTCATTGGGATAAAGTTATGAATATTGTTGAAAGAGATCCACGTGTTTACGCCTTAGATACAACTTCAGGCAAGAAATGGAAAATTATATAATTGTTTTATTGAATAAATCTTAATATTATGTAAAAATTATATGTGCTAGAGCTTTGAAATGAGTTATTTAACATGTTTGACAAAAAATTCATGAAAATTTCAAAATTATTTTAATTTTTATTTCACATTCGGTTTCGTTCAAAAAATGTATCGTTCAAAAAGTATGAAAAAAACAGTTGTGGTAAGTTATACTGAGTTTATGAAGAGTATTTAAAAAAATTTAAAGGAACCAACGGGAATTCTTAACGAATGGAATGTAAGCAGTTCTATCTTGTGGGTATTTGGTCTTGAAGAAAGAGTTATACCATGAATGGGAAGCTTCTGCACGTCCTGTAATATTCACCAAAAGCCAAAGGCCAAAGGAAACGCCTTCGAGATTGAATGATACGAAGAGCATGTAAAATGTCCATGTAAGTAACTCGAAAAGATAATTTGGACCAGAAATATATTTAAAGAGTGTTCCCTGAGGAATTCTATAGCCAGAATCACCATGTGTGCGAAGCTGGCAGATCTGATAGTCGTAGTAGGCTGTAACAACGGCAAGTGCTATGAAAACAATTGCGAATAAGATTTGAACTATAATTGGGTATGGCTTTGTCTCGAAAACATGGATACGAGCAAGAATCGATCCTTCAATGAAGTTTGAAACAGAGAAATAAATAAGTGATTCTAATGGCCATGGCTTTGATTGTGGACGGCGGAAGAATGGGTATATGATAGCACGATGAATGTAAAATCCAATGTATAAAAGGGATGGAATTTGGAAGATTTCACCACGTGGCCAGGAAACAGTTAAAAGAATGTAAATGATTGGACCAGGAATATTTGCAAGTAAAAATGCTATTCTATCTTTAACTTCTACTTTGAGGTAAGCTCTTCCTCTTGTGTAATTTTTACCATATGGCATTGAGAAGAAGGCGAAGTAAATCATCATTATACCAGCGATAATAAGATTTGCAACGCAGAATTGGCCAAACAATGTTTGGTTGGTTAAGTATAACATATAATCTGTTAAAAGCGGGATATCAGACATTCTTTTCACTAGTGACGGTTTGTCAATTTGACATAGAATCCTTTCAGATTCTTATCGATAAAACCATAGTTTCCCAATAAAATATGACCATCTCATGAGTGATTTCTACATGGAAATTTTACTCTCCCTGTGAAAAAAACCATGAAAAATTAAATTCGGAAAACTCTATGTTTTAAATTCCGAGATATAAGCATGTGATAAGAAGGGCATCATCATACTATAGAATGTTTCAATCAAATGAAATAAAATGGTGGAATATTATATTAAAAATGATAAAAAAGAAAATCTTAAATCATCATTATGTTAATCTCAAATAAAAAGTATATTTAAAGTACCAGGTGACGCTTCATATGCTGTAAGATCATTTTAGGTTTTAATAAATCAAATCCATGCAATGTTCAGGAAAATCAATAGTCCTTGATTTCACTACAACGTTGCCATATATATATATATATATAGAGAGAGAGAGAATTTGATACATGAAAATTAACACTTTTTTGACACTCAATTATCAAATTTCAGGTTCCTGACATTAGCTAGCCTCAAATCATTTATTTTTCGGAGACATTATAACAAATTTACATATTTTGAATGGTGTTTTATGTATTGTTTGAAAGGGAGTTCTAATTGGATTGCTTCGATCTGACAAAATTTCAATGCAGTCATACTTAAATGTGGTAAGAAAATTTAGTGCCAATTTTCCTGGTTGCTCATTATTTAAAGTTCCACCAATATAACTTCCATCAAATTGATAATGAAAAAGATTTAATGTATTTGATATGCTAATTTTTACTATATTTGGGTCGAAATTATGAAAAATGCAATATGAAATGTTCTGATTAATACCATGTGATACAAAAAATTGCAAACAATGTCCACGACCAGTAAGATTGTTGAATACTAAATAATCTAATTTAGAATTTAAAGCATTAATTCTAATGAAGAAAGGAATTGAATAGGCTGATTTTTGGACTGTGTGCGTGTCACCAAAATAGCACCATTTGGATATAACAGTTGTATTACTTTCTGTACAAATTTAACTATAATGAATTACTTCAGAATTGTAACTATTATTCACATATTTAAGATTCAAAAGATATTGAGCGAAAATCGCACCATCGCATGCCTCATGCTGAGATGATGAATGACTTATTGAGGAGCTATAGAAGGTATTGTTTGATGATATTGTATGAGCAGCAGCTCCACGATAATAGCCATTTGTTGATTCTGAGAAACAAGTTTGATAAAAGGTAAATTTTCCTTTTTTAATATTAACAATACAGTTACCGTCATTAGTGGTACTTTTACATCTTTGAAAAAAACTATTTGAAACTAATAAAATATTGTTCTCATTCTCAGACATTATTGCTGGAGAACATGTTATAATGCAATTTTTAAGATAAAATGAACCCAAAACAGTTGTAAAGGACTGCAAACTTGAATTTTCAATTTTAATTACTTGATTCGAGTGTGGATAAAAGAGATCCCATGTTACATCTGATTCTGAAATAGATTTTAGATTTAATGACCATCTTATCTGATATGACTCATGGCTTAATGAAATATATTCATAAACAAATGTAAGCATCTTCTAAAAACGATTAATTCAATAATATCATTTTGTTTAGTCATTATACAAAATCGGTTTCAATTCGGAATTGCTTTGCTTTTTTTATGTTTTGTATATAAAAATGATTTAAATGTCTTGAATGAATTCTTGAGCAACAACATGTCTTTTCTGGTCTGTGGTAGACACCTAAACTTCCGATCTTTAGGCTAAGAAATATTTTGAGGATGAAGATTGAATTTAACAAATAATTGCTCTCTATATTGACCTTTTGAGTGAAACTGTTTGTAGTTTTATCTATAATATGGAGATTTTTTGAGCGCTGAGAGAAAAATTGCTTCACTAAATTTATAATTTTGTCAGATTTATTTTATGAAAACCTTGAACATTTTTCTCAAAGCCTAAGAAATATAGCGCAAATGAAAATGTATGGAAATTCTTCTTTGGATGCGAGATATATGACATCCATGTTACAAAAAGCAAATTTATAAATGAAGATTCTAAAGTTTTTGTTGATGAAGTTATTTTTGAAGAATTCCATCCAAATGGTGTCATTAATATCTCTGGTAATCCAAATTCTGAACTTCTCGTTTCTTTTTCCAGCTTCTTTCGATGCGGAAATGAAAATGGAAATGGAGGATGCATATTATTCATGGAAAGTGGATCATGCGTTCAATATCGAATTTGTAGTTTTGAATCTTTTATCACTAATGAAAACTCTGCCGGATCACATTCCTTTATTGAAATGGCTGAAGATTCTCTTGGCAAAAATTATGTATTTGAATCTTCTTTTGATAGTTGTAAAGGATTTGGTTCTACATTACTAAGCGCTGGTGGAATAATAGCATACCTTCTCATAAATATTTCTTATTCTTTTTCGGATCAATATTCAGGATTTGTTATTGGGTTCCCGTTCGAAAATTCCTTTGTAAATAACAGTAATTTTTATAATTTAACATCAAGAGAATATATTTTTGGCTTTGCCTTTGAAAAACACTTTGTTTCACATTGCAATTTGATTAAATGTAATGAACAATCTAAAGCAATAATCTTATGCGCTATTAGAACCTATCTTTCTTTAAGTGAATGCTTTATTAAAGAAAACACATCTCCTTTATTTATCAATATTGAATATAATGCGAAAGTTGATATTTATCTTTCACTTTATGATAATAATTCGATAGACCAGATATCTAATGAACCAGATAAAATTCATATGGAATCTCCCCAGATATTTAGTAGAATAGAAACAAATTATTTGTCGACTGTCTTTTGCCATGCAGAGAAACCCCTAGAAGTGTATGAATTAGAAATTAATCAATATTGTCCAAGATTGATCTCTAAGATGAATATTTTTCCATTATTTCATGTTTTCGCAAGTTGTACAAACAAAACTAAATCTAAAGCCCCTAAAACAATGATTAACTTGAATAGTAAAATCAAGAGTTATAAATCAAAAGTAGAATCAAAGATTCGAGCGAAACTTAAACCTAAATCAAAAACAAATTGATCGTGATTTAAGATGATTTCAATTGTTTTGTTCATATTGTTGATAAATCTTGTTTACTTCCAAGATGTCTGCTATCTAAGAAAAAATGCATTATTTTTCATGTAAATGATGACTCATATCTCAATTCCTAAATGAATTATGAGATAATCAAACTTTGAACAATTTTATTGGTTACCTATGATAATTTATTTGCAAATATGTAAATTCCTATAAATTTTAGATTCGGATAGCAAGATTTTAAGGATTGAAAGATCATTTCAATGGAAGATTTTTTTTCAAATGTTTACAAAATCTTTACATTTATCATGCAGAACAGCATTGAAAGATTAAAAACTCACTAACCTTGATTCGTAGTAGTATGTCTTATGTTGAGCACGCATTTTTTCTTTAAATTGTATCTGCGGACAATTTTCAATATCAAAAAATCATTTTCGGATTGTTAAATTATTGCATTTAAGGATAAAATGTTAATTCTAATCTTTTATTGGATTGCGATATAAACACATTGAATTTCATAACCCATAAAAAGTCACGTAAGCACGTTTTTATTTTGAGAGAAAGTTTTCAGAGCTGATTTTTATGCGAGTGGGTAGATATTAAATAGCTACATATATTTATTCACCAAAAAATATGAGATGGTTATTTTTATCGGCAATTTTGATTTTTGGCTATTGCACATGTTACACTATATATTAACGAATTTTATCGCATACAAAATTACTTTTGAGAATCGATTGAATTTAAATCAGAAACAGGAATGGCTGAAGAAGAGCTGAACTTACCTGTTGGAAACTATATTCTTCGCCAGAGAATAGGTGAGGGAGCTTTTTCTTCAGTTTGGCTTGCTGATTGCAAAGATGTTTCAATTCCAGCTGCAGTTAAAATCATTTCGAAATCTACACTCGATCAACCCGATGTTTTCACTCGTTTTCAAAGAGAAATTTCGCTTCTTCAACAATGCAGCCACCCATTTATTACACATTTCTATGAGCTTTACGAAGATACGAACAGATACTACGTTTTTATGGAATATGCTGAAAACGGAGATTTCGAATCATTTCTTCAAACAAGGGGACGTCTTCCTGAGAATATGTCTCGCTTTTTCTTTGCTCAATTAATTACAGCTTTAGATTATCTTCATAACACTTGCAGAATCGCACATCGCGACTTGAAGCCACAAAATATTTTGCTTGATAGATATAATAATATCAGAATTACTGATTTCGGTCTTAGTAAAGCCTTTAATGATGTCGTTCCAAATCTCACTTCAAACTGTGGTTCACCAGCATACGCAGCTCCAGAAGTCATCATAGGCAAGCCATACAACAAAGCTGCCGATGTCTGGAGTCTTGGAGTAATTTTATATCAAATGGCCACAGGACATCTTCCATTCCAATCACCGGATGTGAAAACAGTTCTTATGAAGATCGTTTCCTTTGATCCTCCTTATCCTCCTACGATGTCTTCCCAGTTAATCGACTTATTGCGAAGAATGCTTTGTCGTAACCCATCGAAGAGAATAACAATCAAAGAAATAATGGAGCATCCATGGGTTGTTCCACAATTTGTTTCCAGAGTTTCTAGTTCATTGTCAGAATTACACCAAGAAAATACTGCTGAAGGAGGAAGTCCAAGACAACAGAATCCAGCCAAACTTCAGCAGGACTGCCAAAACCTTGTCTTTGTTCTCTCTGAAAAAATGGATCAGGCAAGACAGTTGTTACCAACAAATAACTATAATTCTCCGCCTGCTTCACTTCCACATCATATTCCAAAGTTCGCCATTACAAAAATATCGTCTAACTCGATATTGATTAAAGATCTTGAGCCAGGACAAAGACCGCAGCTAATAAAGAAGAGTAGATCTGCATCAAACTATCCTTCTAAGCACAGAGGTGCAGATTTAGCTCCAGAAATGACAATTAGTGAATAATTTTCCAAATATATTAGATTTAGATATATTAGAATAGTATATTACTTGTTATTATTGTTTGTTATTAAATATACAATTATATTGTATTCGTTTTGAACTGTAGTTTTTCAATTTTTTGAAAAATCTGAAGAAAATAGTTAATTATAAGATTATATTTACAAACATAAACACAAAATAAGCAATATCCTTACTCTGGTAAAATCTCTGGAGCTTTGAGAGAGATGATTTTGATGATTGAATCGTTTACATCTGGTGGGTAACGACGGGCAACTGCTTCGATCTTTCTAAGCTTTTCAAAGTAGAAATCGCGTTCTAATGCTACATCTTCAAGCTGTTTTGATTGAGTTTTTGCTTCTTCGAGTTTTTCTTTAAGATCATTTTCTAATGTTTGTAGTAATCCATCAATATCTTCGGAAGGATCGTTAGATAAAGATATTATTTCTTGAATTAAGTTTCGAATTTCATTTTTATCTCCTTGTACAAGGAGATTGATGTCATAATTGAATGTAAGACCTAACTGCTCGTAAATGCGACTTGCAATTTCGAAATTTGCTGCTTTTTCTTCTGGAGTTTTTCCCATTGAAACCATCTTTTTACTTTTTCGATCTTCTGCTAAATCAGCAAGGACAAAGCAAATTTCTCGACCAGTAGAGGCATCTTTGAATGATTGTAACTGGCCACCAGTTGATTCGTTGAGCCAAGCAATAATATCTGAATCTTTCATGATTGTCACTTTTTGATTTCATCATAAATTTCAAAACCTAATATTGACATCAAATTAGCAATAAAAGACTGTCATTAGATATTCCTGATGAATGCAACATTGTCTATTTGGGGATAAAAAGCATATACTACAAGCCTATGCCAAATAATAGCTTTGATGATGGAGTTTTGATATCCAATTCTGTTTGCATCATTTTCATGAAAACGAAAAAGTGACATTTTTAATGAGACAATAGAAACTGGATGTTTGATTGTAACCTTCAGTGATACGATCTCATACAAACATGGAACAGTATTGAATGCAATATTCATATACCGTTCCACACAAATTTATTTTTATTAATAGATAAAGCGTGTTAAATATGTTAAGTAACATCTTTACACAATGAATATCTGCAATCCATATAGGATAAGTTATCTCATGAGCTCTTGAATAAGTTAAAATTATCCAAAATTAAATTTAATTTTTATTTAAATTTCAAAAAATGAAAAAAATACTTATATAAATCTAAAATATAAAGTCAATTTATATTAAAAAAATAGAAAACAACTAATTAAGACAATCAAGAGCCTTCTTTGTCTGAATGAAATATTTCTTTTCTCCACCTTTTCTGAACAGTTCTGAGATATCTGATTTGAATGTGGACATCAGTCTCAAATAAAGAGCTTTCACTGATCTAGGAGGACTTGTAACACAAAGCAACCTCTTTGCCAGTTCAGTGTAAATAATTTCGCAAACAACATCATTTGAATTTTCGAAAATGAAGTAAATTAGTTCACCAGCGAAAGAAGTATGACTTGATGGGAATCTTAGCAAGTCTATCAATGAGAATGTCAGCATTTTGAGGCCAGTTTCGTTTAATGATGAGAATAATTTCAAGAATAATTTAACAATTGGCAATTCCTTGAAATCTGTTGTACCAGAAACCATATCTTCTGTCCATATTGATCCAGTTACTCTCGTAATACTATTCAGAACTAATTGCCAGTACAATCTAACTGACAAAGTTTGTCTTTGACTTGCATCTGTCAAAGCAGAAAGAATTGCATGGCAACCATCTTCAAACTGTTCTTTGTTATGATGTTCTCTTCTTATAAACTGCTTAACAACACTTGTCAAGCCTTTTTGATCCAAAGATTCTTCGATATTAAATGAAATATTCGGTTGTTTCGAAGCAGAATTCGAATCAGGCGGAGAACAAGAAAGAATCAAGTTTCTTATTTGTATGTAATGAGGAGGAAGATGTTCGATCAATGGCATGTAATAAGAGGAAATGAACAAAGGATAATCATTGCAAATCAAGTGCAAACATCTTAGTATTGGCCTGTAGAAGCCATCAGGATAATAACTTGCCAGCCATTGCAAAGTTATTATGAAATTGAAACAAAATGATGAAAACTTTGTGTCATTTCTTCTTACAAAAGAAGGGAAAGCTGTTGCGTGAAGACAAAGCTGTATCCAGCAACAAGCGAAACCTGGACAATGCTTAGGACTCAAGTATTCCAAGATATAAATCAATCTATCCCTTTGTTTTAATTGTACTTGGGATAAATATTCATCTAAGAATTTGTAAAGTGTTAAAGAAAACTCTTTGACACTGTAAATGTTGTATTCAAGACTTTCAAGAGCTGTTTTAGTATTTGTTATAAGTGAATCAGGACTTATTTGGCTTGTATGTCTTGACAAAACATTTGCCAAGAAACTTATCAAACTGTAATCAATTTTTCTTTGTTTTATGAAACAATTGACAAGTGCCAATAAAATTGTCGTTATCTGTTGTGCATTTGCTTCTTTGAATGATTGAATGAACGTCATCTTACTGCTCTCTGTCTGCTCTTTTACCATTGTTAAGAAATTGGAAACAATGGAAATATATGGTTTGTCAAATAAAGGAATGTTTGCTGTGCATCCTTGAGGTGAAGTGACTCCAAGCAATGAATAACATGAGAGCATTGCTTTGTCAGCATGAGGAAGCATTGCGATATACCTGGAAATAGTTGGCTGTATCATTTCTGCTGTTGCTGGATTTGTCAATAAATCAGAGAACAAAGAGTTCAAAGTGGCTAAATTATAATAACCATGGCTGACAACGAACTTGAAGAAAGAGGGATGAGGGAAAATGACTCTAAACAAACCGCTTAAATCAAGATTTTGTTTGTTTTGTGTCATTTTTGTCAAAATTTTGAGAAAAGTTGAAGAAACAATTGTTGTATCAGACATTGCCAATGAAACAATTGATTGTATTGTATTCAAATCATTGATCTTATCATTGGAGAATTGTATGATATCAGTGCCACTTCCAAGGAAATAGTATTTCTCCATTTCTTGAGCTTTTAATGCCAAATCTTTCAAATCATCTGTAATGGAAGAAAACTTTGGTTTGTAACTGAAGAAAATTTCCAAATCTTCTTGAGTAAATGTCGCTGATTTGTCGGCTGTTTGTTTAGTGAAAACATTGCCTTCGGCCTCTTGAACAAATACGAATTGTCTGTCAAAGGAATCAATAGGAATATCAATGTCTCTTCTGTAATAATTTTCAATATCAACTTTGAATCTGTTCGCGAAACTGTAGATCATGTTACAGATGTCTGTTCTCAATCCTTTCACATGCAACATGGCTGCCATGATCTCCATGCATGCACACGTGTAAGGGCAAGGCGGATTGTAGATGGATGATGCTTTGCTGAAGTATTTCAAAGTGAAAAACATCGCTGCACCAAAAGATCCAGTTTGTGCTGATTCTTTAAGGATCCGAATAATGTCTAACATGTACAAAGGAGGCGGACGACCATAATCTATTGACAATGCACCAATCCATGATCCCATATGAGCAATCCATGGTAATGCAGTGTAATATGTCCATCCAATGCCACGGACTGATGTAAGTAGGAGTTTTAAGTAGTCGCAAGCTGCTTGTAATAATGGGAGATTGTCAATCTGAGTGGTAGGAGGCTTGAATTTTAGACAAACTTGGATTAAAAATTGTCTTTGAGATTCTCCTGTAAGGTTTTGAGCAAAATCAATGGATCCAAAGAGATTTTGGCGTGGAGAAGTATTGGAATCTATTGTTACATCTGGCGGAGGAGGGCTGATTTGAATCGGAATAAATTTTTTTCTTTTTTCTGGAAGAATAAAATGACTTTTAGTATCGTGATTTTCAAATGTAATAGCTTCACCATCGTAGATTTGTGTTAGTAGTAGGAATAAGTCTGAATCTAAAAAACGTAATTGAGGAGTATTCGCTAAAACCTTGCAAAACATCGGATATTTATAAATATGAGGTAGTATAGCACGAGTGAAGACTATTACTGAGTGAAGACCTTCTAAAGTTTTTCGATACTGTAGAATATTTGAAAATAAACAATATTGTGTAGGTGTAGGAATTAATTTATTGATGACGAACCATCCAAGAATGGCTGCAGTGTTATCTGTGAATTTTGATTCGATTAAAATGCGTAAAATGCAAAGTAATAATTCTTTAGCTGATTCGTTCAGCAATTTTTCTAATATAGGACCTAATTTCTCCATAGGCTGAGTCAATATACCTGCTGCTTGTGCAATGAGCTCGTCATCAAAATCCTGTGCAACAAAACTCGGATAAATACCAGAACTCATTGAAAAAACATCACTTGCTGTTTAGATTTTATGATGTTTTAAAAGCGATTTTATATATGCAATAATAAGTTTATTCAAATTCAAAATTATAGAATCCAATTCCAATTTTTTTGGAAAGAATCAATGATTTTTTTGTATTTATCAACAGCAGCCTTATAGATCATTGCAAATCAATATCTACTTAATACTCCACATTTTACAACAAATGGATCTGTTCTGTTCTTGAGAAAATGAAAACACCTTTTCCTAGAGAAACTGATTGCGCAGGAACTCTCAAATGTTCTTTAATGAAGGAGAACTCACATAGAAAGAGTGCGGAGATTGGTTTTCAGTTGTGAGAGAAGGAGAAATTTCTACATGAAAGGCAATCGTGTGTAGATCATTGTATTCTGTACAGAATACACTTTATAGAGGAATTTATGGATTGAAGTCTCATTTTTTTATATTGAGAGGAAATTTATAGGTATATCGAATTTTAAAATAATGAACGCAAACAGGCATGCTTATTATCTCAATTAACGGCCGAAATAAAACAATAAATAAAAGGTTTATAGGAAAACATAAAAAACAAATTAACAAAACAAAATTAAGCGCATAAATGTATATGATTACTTTGGAGCTGGCTTTTGTGGTTTGTTATTAGCGTTATTGTCGTTATTATTATTATCTGCTTCATTCTTTTCTAACAAATTTTGCTCATCTTTGGCTTTCTTCTCCTGATTTTCTGCATTTTCGATCATAGTATTACATGCACAGGCAACAATCAATGCAATCAGCCAAATAGCGAAAAACACTGCGTTTACAGAATAAGCATTTGAAGTTCTTTGTAAAATGTATGATGTTTGGCTTGACGATGTTGGATGTTTAGATAAAAATGATGTAACTATAGTAGCATTTGGATTTCGTACAATATAATCTGATATATCGGAAGTTGCTTGGCTTGCTTGCCCATATGTAGATAAAGCAAGTAAGATACATGACAAAAATAGTGTGAAAACGTTCAATGCGACAAATATTTGATATCTTAGTTGTTTATCTAAATTTTGCAATTTATTAAACCAGACTAAGAAGAGCATTGCAATTGAAACTATACTAAGAAGGAATGTAAAGAAGCATGTAGTTAATATTTGACCTCCAACAGCTTTTAACCAAATCTTATTTCCCGTTATTGCCATCCAATATATGAGAAAGATTATGTATGCTGCTGGAATTACTACAAGAAGTATTCTCATCCAAAATAATACAGTTCCTGGAATACCACTTTTCTGTAATTCTGCAAAAGATCTTTCCATTCAAAAAAATAAACGTTCATTTTTCAGAGTGAAAATTTTCGTTGAGCATTTTTTTCTTGGCAAACCCAAATTTTAGCTAAAAGTGACAGGGAAAAAAAACGTTTAGTATTAAAAAAAAAGACCGATGAGAGCTTCGTTCGAAATATAGAGGGAACTGAGAATGCGCAACCATTCTCAGGGAATATTGGATGCTATTCCCGTTCCCTCTGTATGGAAAATTGAGGTTTTCAAAGGGAGTTAAAATAATATCAAATTTATACTAATTTACTTCAAAATACAAAAGTATTTGACAGCTAAAATTAGTTACTTTAGCAAGCCTATCAATACCCTTTTACGATTATTGCTACTTTTTCGAAATAAAAGTAAAAACAAATTTATACTAATTTACTTCAAAATACAAAAGTATTTGACAGCTAAAATTAGTTACTTTAGCAAGCCTATCAATACCCTTTTACGATTATTGCTACTTTTTCGAAATAAAATAAATTTATTATCAAAAACCTTTTTTTTCTTAGTAAAAATAAACGAAATTTTTTACCTTATGAACTTTTGATGGAAATATGCAAATTTAAAATAATAAAGAAAGCCGCGAGCGAAGCGATCGGCTTAGTTCGAAGATTTTGATTCAAATCTTTGCTGATCTGTAATTCGCGGAAGCCGCGAGCGAATCGAGCGGCTTAGGTCTAAGATTTTGATTCAAATCTTTGCTTATATTCCTTAAATTCTTTATGAAACTCGCAACAGTTCCATAAAAAATTTTAAATTCTAAACTGTCGAAATTACCGATCGGTAATCACACCCTTCACGGGTGTGTCACTTTTTACAGGTGTGTCACTTTTAGCTAAAATTACCCCTACTCAAAATTTTCTAGGACAAACAGAGTTAAAAATTTCCAAATGTCCGATGGTCCGAATTTTGTAGAGCTTTTAGAGATTGCATTTTCACCAGAACAACCTAATCAAGAAGCTCTTGATTACTTAACTAATTTTCGACGAGAAAACCCAATAGATTTTTTGTTTGAATGCATAAGTGCGCTTCCATCAGTAAAAGACAGCAGGATTATGAAGCAACTACTTATACAAATCAGTTCAATACTTAATGGCGGAAAATATACGCTAATTGAAACAAAACCCCAATTCTTGAACGAACTTGAACAGAAACACAATTGCATAGTCGCATTCAAAGAGTTATTACTACAATGTATATGTACAGAAGGAATATCTGATGATAAATCATTATATTTGATAATATCACAATTAATTCTCATCGAATTGAAACAAAAATCCAATTATTTATATTCAAATCTCGTAGCAATACTAAATAACTGCCAACCTCAAACACGTCTTGGAATTTTGGAAATTTTCGTCAATACTTTCAAATCTTTAACATTTACATTGCTACTACTCAGAGATCTTAATCTTCATCAACCAATAAGTCAGATAATTGGTGAATCTATAGATGATGAAGAAAACGTGGTTTTAATTTTCAAATTAATCGAAGCTGTTTGTTATTCAAATTATGGTAAATTAGTATATGACAATGATGAATTCATAGCGAATAGTGTTGAATGGTTTAGAAGAATAACACCAGAAGTAGAAATACCTGAAATAATCAAATCATTTTTTGGCGCTTTTACAAACTTTTTCAAAGCTGAATACAAGAAAATCTTTAGCGATGAAACAAACCAAGAAGTATTTATGTCATTAGTTTTGGATTTCCTTAAGTCATCGAATGCTTATGGTGTTAAATATTCTCTCAGATTCATTCGAAAAATTGCTCGTTTTGAGAATTCTTTACCAGAAAAAGATAGTAATCATTTTATCTCCCAATATTCCCAATTTTTATTAGAACCAATAACAGCACAACTTAATGGATTAAGTGATGATGATAACTCTATAGAGTTCCAATCAGCAGATGATGAATCAATTGCTACAGAAGCATATTCAACATTATTAAATTTGACAGAAATTTCTCCTGAAATTTGTTTAAGTTGTGCTGAAGATTTCTTTAATTGTCTTGACAACAAGACCTGGAATACACAAGCTGCAGGATTGCTGGGATTAGCTGCTTTAGTTCATTATACAAGTTCTGAAAGTGCAATTATAATTCAGGAACTTTTAAAGCTAAATAATGATGAATTAAATATAATTTTGATTTTTATGGAGAATGATAATCTCAGATTAAGGTCAATTGTTATGACTCTCATGCAGAATGCACTTGATTATAATACAGATACTGCGTTTAGAGATCGTGATTATTTGAAAGTTGTTTCAAAAATGATTATTCAAGGATTAAAGGCTGATTCAAATGATTTGAGATTAAGTTGTTTGTCACTTTTGGAATCATTTTCAAAAATTTTTGATGCATCTTTGTATCAAACAGCGAATGCTTTAAATGAATTATTAAAACCTATAACTGAAATTGTCATCACAATGCTTAATAATTACAAAGATAACGTTATTTTAATTAATGATTTGTTCAAAGCGTATGAAAGCTTTATTATCAGAATTTCTTATTCTGAAGAACCGCATTTGCCGCCAATTCTTAATACTTTTCGTGGTATTTTGAATGCTTTTCTACAAAATCCTGAATACGACTACATTATTTGTGGATTAATTCGTATTATTACATGCATTACATTCAAATGTTCAAATTTGGATCCAAACATTAAACATGAAATTTGGAATGATATATATCAGATCTTCAGTCCAGAAGATGGTCAATTGGATTCAACGGATTGTAATGTTCTCACGTCTTTAAACATCTTCGTGCAGTTTATGCCGGAAATCGCAGTACCTGCTCTTGGTAATTTTCCAATTGAACTTTTAGCATTTATCCCAGATAATTGCACAGATTTAAACCTTTCAAGCGTATTCCATTTCATTTACAGTGTCTATATAATATTCCCGACTATGTATCAAGATCAATTTTACAATGTCATGGAAAGACTTTTGACACTGGTAAATGAAAACTTTGAGATGCCAATTTTCCCTTCAATTTGCATCGCTCTTGGAGCTGTTATTTTATCGAATACATCTGAAGCACTGGCCAAATACGAAAAAGAGATTGCTCTTATACCTCTAAGTGTCGAAGAAATGGCGAAAGGAGTTGATAAACTAGATTCAGGCGCAATCCAAAATCTAAGAGATATGTTTACTAGTTTGTTCAAACTTTTCTCGGCAATCGCTTTAATGTACATACAAAATGATGGATCAAGGTTTTTAAATGCAATGAAAACAGCATTGTTCAAACCATTCCAAATAATTGAGCCTTACTACATTGACGAAAATTATGCAGATGCCGCTTATAGCTTCATGAAAACAATCATGGATAATTCGAATTTTGAACAAAGAAAGCCAATTCAGCCAAATTTGGCAAATCCCAAACTTCAAGTTGTTTTGACATGGATTACCAAACATTGTCAGAACAGAAATCAATTCGCTGAAGATGCCAAACGTATGAGCTCATCGCTCCTCAGGATTTAAATTTTTATTTTTATATCAATAAATGTTAAGCATTACATTTTATTTTCATTATCTTTTTATACTTCAATTTAATGATAAATCAATGAATATACTCACCAATATCATCAGATTAATTACAGTGCTCTTATTTCATAAAACCGAATTTAATCTTATATTCTTTTCATTGAGGATTTAATATGTGGCGTAGTTTCCATTATGTGACGCTATAAAATTTGTGATATAGAATGTGAATTGCAAAAGAGCCTTAGCAAGTTAATCAATCTCAATTACCGTAATTTCTTAAAAATATAATGTATTTTGATATAATGATTAATGAAATCATGCAATCACATAAATGATTTATTAAATGATAAAAGAAATGGCATGAATTCATGTAATTTTTAAAAATAAAATTGAATTTTCGATTCGTTCTTTTATTTACTTATTTTCCATAACCATTAAATTTACAGATGGTTCTTATATATAAAAAGAGATAAACTTGTGTTCAAATCAAAGAAATGATTTCATCAATTTATCAAAAGGAATGACATTTCCGCTGAATGTCTTTAGGATATGCATTCAATGTGTTGTCATTTTCATTAGAGATAGCAATGAAATATATCAAATCTAAAAAAAAATCTTGGCGATTATCCAAACATATCTCAAAAAATTAAGTAGCAGAGATATCTAACACTAATAATGGTATTATTGTTGCATGCTAAGTTCGGTCAACGATAGGAATTGAGGGGAAATTAATCGTCGAGGAAGTACGATTATGTAAAGTAAAAAATGTTGTGGGATTTTTAATATTGTATATAATTTTATAATAAAATTTTTGTGAGACATTTTAAGAAGCACATATAATTTTTTGAATTTAAAAATTAAAGTAGTGTTGAATGAATTTATTGATTAATTTAATACGGATATTTCTCAAAATTAATCAAAAATAGGTTTTCAGAGAACTTTTGAGATATCTTTTCAAAATGTCTTTTTGAAAATATATAAGTATTATATCAAATTGAAAAAAGGTATTTATCAAAATTCTAAATTCTTAATAAAAAATAACTTTTCAGAGGATTGTGATTTTGAAAGCATGAGTAATAAGTAAAAAATATCTACGATTTTAATGAGGGAATTGTTCCTTATGAGGTATACATTATAACTATATACCTCATAAGGAACAATTCCCTCTTGATAGCTGGGAAACTTTCTCTGAATAACTTATCATTTGGAGAAAGTTTCCCAGCTATCTATTAGAAACTAAAGGCTGTGAGGCACTAATATATAATCAGTGCCTCATAGCCTTTAGTTTCTTATTAAAAACGAGAAAACTTGTTCGAAATGATAAACAATTTCGAACAAGTTTTCTCGTTTTAAGGAGGGAATTGTTCCTTATGAGGTATACAGTATGAATATATAACTCATAAGGAACAATTCCCTCTTGATAGCTGGGAAACTTTCTCTGAATAACTTATCATTTGGACAGAAAAAGTGACACTTTACATGGCAAAAAATAGAGCCTTACTTTTGAGATACTTGAGATTGAAACTGAATCTTATGAGGCGGTGATCTTGAATCACTACCTCATAAGGTTCAGTTTCATATAAAATTTGTTGCAATTTGTTATTCTTTTGCAATTATTTCTTATAAGATTTTACATCTTTTAGCGGGGAATGTTTGTTATCATGTATATATTATAAATATCTACACGATAACGAACATTCCTCGCTAAATTGCTGAGAAACTTTGAGGAAATGTCGAACAATTTCCTCAAAGTTTCTCAGATTTATATAGATCACTAGAGTCCCCTAGGCACTGATTCTGGTTCAGTACCTAGGAGGCTCTAGTTCTCTAACGAACTGATAAAATGTTTTTAAATTTTTGGATATTGCTACCTGTGAAGCACTGACTTCAAGTCAGTACCTCACAGGTAGCAATTACATTGAAAGATGGGAGAAACTTTGTCCGAATGTTAAACTATTCGGACAAAGTTTCTCACATTTGTAGTGGAGATGGAAGGCTTTGAGGTATATTGTATTAATATATACCCCAAAGCCTTCCATCTCCACTTGAAAGTGTCCAAACTTTGGGTTAATACTTTGCAATTAACCCAAAGTTTGGACACTTTCTAGAAGGAATTGGAGGGTAAGAGATATACGTTCATATGGTATATCTCTTACCCTCCAATTCCTTCTTAAAATGGGAGAAACTTTGTCCGAATGTTAAACTATTCGGACAAAGTTTCTCCCATTTTTTGAAGGAATTGGAGGCTATGAGATACTGATGCAATGTCAGTAACTCATGGCTTCCAATTCCTTCCTAAAACTCATAAAAGTGGACATTACATGCATATAAAATTTGACATGTAAAGTCCACTTTTTGTGAGCGGGGATTTGACTCCGTCAAATCCCCTTTTTCGTTTACGAGAAAGCCAAATTCTCTCAAAAAGTTAAGTAGGACCAATTTTTTATAAAAAAAATCCAATTTCATTATGAATGTTAATTAATTTATATAATTATTGAATAAAAAATTTTCTTTGAGATTATGAAAAGTTCTTTGAAAAGTTATTTTTCTCATTTTTAAATATTGTATTAGCCTATTTATTTATAATCCAAATTAAATAACTTTAAATTCAATATTTAAAGAATAATTTTGAAGGAATTGAGTTACTTCCCCCGACGATAAAATTGAGAGGTTTACATTTTGACCGAACTTAGCATGCAACATTATATCGTTTATCCTCAAAAATAAATTTTCCTAGAATAAGGTTAAATTACTTCTATGATTTATTAATACTATTTATAATAATATAACTTTACTAAATAAACCTAATTGAATTTTCAATAGTTTATTAAAAACCCCAAATCGATTCTGAAGGGAAAAAATCATTTTCTTGATAAACAAAATAGCACCTAGCATTATTAAATAAGAGTATGTAAATTATTTTTTTCTTTCTTTCAATACATTCAATTAATTTATCTCCTTCAAAAATCTATTCTTATGTATGGCGGCCTTATATGATTTTGGAGGCAACTCATACAAAATTGACTCTGTTAAAAGTACCGAACAGATTATATTCTGCAGTATCTGGGGTGAAAAGATCAATACAAAGCATAAATTAGATAAGCGACTCTTGATTTGTCAAGAATCATCCATAAGTTTATATAAATCGCGTGCATTCTCAAAAGATCCAGCTTTATCAAGAAAGTTTTCATGGTTTGATATCGTTAAATTCGGTGTTAAAAATGATAACCAAATGTATTTTACTTTCGAAGAAGGCGAAATTAACTTTAAATACGATCATGCTAATATATTAGCTGTAAAAATTGCAGAGTTCATCAAAAGCATACTCTTGGAGAAAGAAATGCCTGTCATAAATTTTGATGACGATGATTCTAAAAATTCTCTCGATCTTAAATACTGTACATTGATGAGGTTCAGAGCTTTGATCTTTCGAGATGGAGCTACTCTAAAAGAATCTCATTTGAGAGTATTTGGAGAGTATATTCAATCTCCTATCAAATCCAAGTCATTTGACTGTACAAAATTCAAGAACTTCGGATCAATTGATAAGTACGTATTAGAAGCTCTCAAAATCGACACAACAATCGAAGAACTGATGATTCCTTCTTCAGGAAAAAATTCAAATTGGGAATATGTCGCCGAAATAATCAAAAGCAGTCAAACACTAACAAGAGTTACTACAAGCGAGAAGTTTGATGAGAAAGCACAAGCTATTTGTACTTCATTTAAAGCGAATCAATATTCAAATCTCCAAGAACTTGTATTTGTCAATAACCACATAACAGATGTACTTGTAGGTATCCTTGAGAAGATCATAGAAACAATTTCATTGACTTCTTTAACTCTTTCGAACTCGATGTCCCCAAGAGTTTTGAAATTATTCCTTACAAACATTGAATCTTGCGATAATTTCAAATACCTCCAACAAATAAAGCTAGATTCGATGCAAGAACTATACATTCTCACTGCAACAAACATCTGTAAGAATATTGCCAATGTAGCGATTACGAATTGTGACATGGAGGTTATCACATTTATTAAAAACTTGTTGAAAACAAAGGATTGCGCTATAGAAAAGTTCGATATAAGCAAAAATAAACTTACCGTTCCGATTTTTCAAGCTGCTTTCTTCCCTACTTCAATTAAAGAGCTAATAATGAATGATATGAACATAGACTTACAGTATTTACCTTCTCTCTTTAATGCTTTGCATAATTCCAAAACTCCAATTATTGTTCACCTGAAAAGGATGAATATTGTTGCTGATATGTGGGATCCTGTTCTAGATGCTATTTGCAACATTACTTGCCCAGAACTTGAAGGACTTTATTGGGATGGAAACGTTATCAAGGGAAAACTTCTCAAATTCTTCGAATCGCTACCTGAATTCAAGCTTTTCGGAATCAGCGGATACAACAATGAAGATGGAAGTATCGATGACCTTTCAGATTTCATTGCTACCACAAAATCTTTACAAACTCTCATAATAGAAGGAACAGAGAAGAAAATGTCCACTGACGTGATGCAGAAAATCCTAATTGCAATCGGCCAGAACAGATCATTGAAGACAATTAATCTCAAATCTCAAGTTCTCACACCAGAGCAAGTTGTTCTTTTAGGTGACTCGTTGATGCAAAACAGAGTTATTGATCATATTAATATTGATCGAATTTCAATACAATTTGCAGATTTGTTCCCATTTTTGCAAACTCTAAGAAAGAGAGGCGCTCCTTTGAAAATCGTTTACGATACTTCGATTTCTATTCCTGAAGACAAGAAATCAGAGGTTTCTCTCAATGTCAGAAAGATCGGAATTGGAGATTCAACAATTAGCATTCCAGAGGAAACTATCAAGCACATTGACCAAGATCGTAGTCCAGGATATCGCACTCTTACTGTTTCTGCTACAACAATTCCTTCGACGGATCAAAAAGCTCCAGAAAACGAAAAAGACCTTGAAGAAAAAGAAAGTGAATCATATTATTTCGACTATTACTCAGACCCATATTCGTATTATTACTCGTATTCAAGCGATGATGAGAAAGAAAAGGAGAAAGTCAAGACAAAGAAAGAGAAACCGAAGAAAGAAGGAAAAGTCAAAACAAAGAAAGAGAAACCGAAGAAAGAAGGAAAAGTCAAAACAAAGAAACCTGTTCAGAAACAGCCAGAAAATAAACCTCCTGAAGAGGAAATTCCAAGTCTTTTGATGACTCCAATATATGGAGAAATTCCAGCTCCTGTCTCTCAATCAGTTCTTCAGAATCTTATTGATCACTACATGATCAAAGATATTATCAGAAGGGTTAAGGAAAATGATGTTTAATTATATACTTAATATATTGTAATTGTTGTGATTAATATTAAAAAAATATCCTTATTTATGCTCCAAATACATATATTTTCAAATTTAAATTAAAATTATGATATAGGAGTTTATTTAAATGATTAAGAGCTGATTGTTTTCACAAGGATTCATCTCTGGTAAAAAGTAAGAATATCAAATAATGTTGCATTCCAATTGAGGCTATTTTTCTGTTTTAAATGATAATTTAAAGTTTCAGAATAGTTATTTGTGTAGGATTGAGTTATAAGAGATTCTGTGTAAATGGTAGAATCAACTTTTCTCCTTCGATAAAACATTAAGATAACTACTATTATTACAATAATTGCAATTACAATGATGGAAATTGATACAGAAATTGCAATAACCTTTCCAGATCTCTGATTATCCGGAGTTGGAGATATCGGGACTGGCGAATCAGATGGAAGCGGAGTTGGTTCATGTGATGGAGTTTGAGTTGGTTCAGGTAATGGAGTTGATGTGGGAGCTGGTAATGGAGTTGGGGTTGGTTCAGGTGATGGAAGTGGAGTTGGTTCAGGTGATGGAAGTGGAGTTGGTTCAGGTGATGGAAGTGGAGTTGGTTCAGGTGATGGAAGTGGAGTTGGTTCAGGTGATGGAAGTGGAGTTGGTTCAGGTGATGGAAGTGGAGTTGGTTCAGGTGATGGAAGTGGAGTTGGTTCAGGTGATGGAAGTGGAGTTGGTTCAGGTGATGGAAGTGGTGTCGGAATAGCTGATGGAGTTGGGGTAGGAAGAATGATAGGTGTAGGTGATGGAATGTAAGTGTAGTTAAAAATAAATTTGTGCCAGTTGTATGTGCCAGGGGAGATTTCTTTTGACTGAGGAATGTAATTAGCCCAGGAATAGTAAGATGGAACATGAACAGTAGTAGAAGCAAATGATATCAATGAGCGGAATTGGTCTGGTGGATTTTCTCCAAAATAAATGTCAGTTAATGGACAACCTGAGAAAAGCTGAGTTGAGAAAATATTAACTTTAGATAAAATTGAAAGATCAATGACAGAAAGATTGTAACAATTGTAAAATACTTTATCTCCTGATATTTCAATAACCGATGGTAAATAAATTGAAAACAAAGAAGTATAATTTTTAAATGCCGAATCCATTATAAATATTGCATTTTCAAATATTAGGTTGTTGAGAGATTTGCATCCATTGAATGCGTTTTTAGAAATGTTTTTGCATAGAGGAATGTTGATATCTGTAAGGCTTGTACAATCTTTAAAACATTCTTCTGGTATGAGTGTCACCAATGGAAGCAATACATTTCGAAGAGATGTGCAACCACTGAAAGAACGAGTATTGATACTCGTAACTTCTTCGAAACTGATAGTCTCAAGAGATGTGCAATCACTGAAAGACTGCAAACCGATACTTGTAACTTCTTCGAAACTGATAGTCTCGAGAGATGAACATCCTGAGAAAGCGTCTGCTTCTATTGTCAAAAGATGAGGAATAAATACGTTCTTAAGAAGTTTGCAACCGTCAAAAGCACAAAAGCGAACTATGGTGCCAGACTCAAATGTAGCATTGACAAGATTTTTGGCACTATTCATATGAGTGATATCTTCCATAGAAGGCAGGTGGATGCTTGCAAGTGAATCGCATCCATCCCATGCTAAAAAATTGATGGATTTAACTTTCTCGAAATAGACAGACTCGAGAGATGTACATGCACGAAATGCATAACTATCGATATTAACAGCTGATGGGATAGAGACATATTTCAGAGATTGGCATTTGCTAAAACAGTTTTTGGATATGTTAATTGGTCAATAAATTGTAATATTTTCCAGATTTGCCAATGATGAAAATGTTTCTTCTGGAATGAAATCTAAATTTGTTAAATTTACTTCTGCTAAATTATTACATCCATTTACAAAATATTTTGATATGGATATTTCACTACTGATAATTAATTTTTTTAGTGATTTTGAATTTGAAAAATATTGATAATCAATCAAACCTTTAAAACACCCATAATCTAGTTGAAAAGAGGACAAATTTGGAAAATCTACTGCCGAAAAGGAACCAAATTCATATGTTCCTGAAATGATATGAATTGAGTAGACAGAATCCTTAGATATTTGATTTTTAACAAGAATATCGTCTAGAGAATCGCCATCATACTCATTTTCATTGATAGATAAATGCAATGGTAAACATCCACTGAGCAAAAACCAAAGCATTTTATGACTAAAAATATTGAATGTCCTATCAATAAGATTCAATAAACGGTTTAAAAGAAATAAACAAAACACTGATTCATCGTACGTTTCAAATTCACAAAAAAAATTGAGAAATATGATGGAGTATGTTCTGAATTTTCAATTTTTAGCCCTTTTAAATTGAATGTAATTCAATTTTTGAGACGACTCATTGAAAATTCATAATATCTTTGAAAATATTACCCGCTACTCACAATTTAATATCTTTTCATTGTAAATTCAGATTTATCAAACGATATCGTTGTTTGGAGGATATAATTAAATAGTTTACATCTGACAGGTATAAGATCTACAATCAATTTCCCTGAGATCAAAAATTTGATTCTAACTGAGTCAGATTTTAGCATTTGTTCATCATAGTATTACCATTATAAAGGTTCTTTGATATCCTATCCTTCCATATCAGTGTTGGTCTCCATTGTATTTCAAATAGTTCTATAATTTGAAAAAAAAATTCTCCATTTTGAGTTGCAAAAGTAAAAAATTGAGGGTATTAAATGCAAAAAAGAAAATTCATTATAATGATAATTTATAAAAGCATAGAAAATGCTTTACAAAGTGATCCACGTAACTATAACTGTTACATTGAAATTGAAAAATATTTCCAGATTAAATTTTCTTTGGAAAACCTAATATTTTCCAAGATTAAAAGATATCAATAATCAGTTGTATCTTTCTGAGAAATATCAAGATTAAGAGAATAATTTAGTTCTTCATGAATCAAATATTATGTGGATAATATTGAGCAAAATGACCTACTCTAGAAAGATTTTTAACACATTTAAGCGCTATAATTTACCAAGAAATATTTTATATCTCCATTCCATTATGAATTTCATTAAAAAAATAATGATTCATTTTGATCATTTTTTTTGGTGGAAAATAGAGCTTTTAGAAGTAAACTATTCAATATTTTATGTCATCAATTAATGGTTAGATTTTCTTTTTTGTAAAATTGAACTCATTTGTTTAGATAGGCCTTTGTTTCCCGTTTTACATCTTCAGAAAAAATTGAATATCTCAGAATGTTGGGAGATTTTTGGTAAATTGTCATATTTTTTTTCTCGATCCTCTTATCTGTCAATAATCTAAGGATCTTGTTTGGAGAAATAACGGCCGGGATCGCCAAATTCAAAATATAAGCTTCTCCAATTTGTAAATTTTAAATTAAAACAATGCCCTATTTTTTATCAGTATTACTTCTTGTTTCTTATCAAAATGTCAGATTTTAACTTGTAAAATTAATTATTCAATTTGATATTATAAATCATAAATTTTATAAACATAATGATTTATAAAAATGGAAAATACACAAATGATAATAAGAATATTTGGATAATTATCCAATGATATGCAATTTTTTGAGAAATTCATCAAGATGAAGGGAAAATGTTTTAATTGAGTCATATAATTTAATTTTCCCTGTGGAATCGAATACTCTGTGGAACATGTCAAACAAAATAATCTCTTCTGGGAGAATTTTGTTAGCTGCATAAGATCTAACATCATTTTGCTTATTTCCTAATGCAAGAACTACTGGTTTTTGGTCTTTAGGCCATAGATCAATTAAAATGCCAATAATAGGAATTTTAAACGATTCTGGATTATGAATAATAATTTCTCTGGTCAAAGAGCCAAGAAGACTATCATTTGAAGTAATGCATGGACCATCTGGCAAACGTAAGCCACCTTGGTTAATTCTTTCAATAATATCTCTTGTTACTGTTGCTTGACTAACTGGACGCGAAGATAAATACAAGAAGTACAGGCCATGGTCGGACATCTGATTAAAAAGCTTTGCAACACCTGGCTGAGACCAATCAGCGCCAATAAAGCCACAGGCTTGACCAATTGCATCTGAACAAGTAATTGTTCCGTCAATATCACTAATGATGAGTTTATCTGTATATTTATACAGGAAAATCAAAGTGTTAACGGTTTTTGGGCCTTGAAGAAGAGAGGAAACAGTAAATGTAATTTTATTTCTTCCATAATGAAGGAATGGTCTAATCTCTTGTAAAATTAATTCCGATGGAACAGGTTGCTTAGTTTCAATGTCTTTCGTCATTTGTGACTCTTCGCTATAGTGAATTGATTCCGTTAAATCAATATGAGAAGAAACTGCTTCAACAGGTTTCGGATCTGGGTCGCTATATGTGAAAACAATATCAATATCAACAGCACTATCTCTTTCAATGAACTTTGAAAAATCATTACCAAGTGTTGGTTCATTTGTCTTGCTTTCGAGAATTCCTCTAATATCTTGTGGCGTAAGATTAACTGTTGGATGTATTTTTGTTGGATATATTTTATTTGAAGCTAGTTTTCTTTCTTGAAGGTTTTGTGTTTCATAGAACTGTCCGATTCCCCATTCATTTACATACATAGTGAATGGAGCTGGATTATCATTAATTGAAACACTAATAGTCCTTGTAAAATGCTTAAGAAATTGTAAATTTCCAAATCTTAATAACCATGGGGAAGATTTAATAGTTCCATCAGGATGCTCAACCATGACAATATCTGAAGCCCCGCTTAGTGTTGTTGGATTAAAAAGTAATTTCATCCACAAATTTAAGATAAACTTCACAATTTACGATCACTTTGCATCAGTCAACTATTTTATAATTCATCTAAAAATCAATAATTTGACAGGATAAAATTCTCAAAAATTAAGGTTATATTTTATAGACTATAGCGTATGATCCCGTAAGAAGAATGAGCCTAACGCTCTATTGTTTTATTCACAGGGGATCTCAACGAAAAGCCAATACTCCTTATCATTATATTGTATCACTTTCTCGTGCATATTTTTGAAACATTCATTTTCTTTTTCTTTGACTAATATATAATTTGATGTAGATACATCAATGATGTCAGTAGTCTAGAATTCAGGCTTACTTTAATCTTGAAATTTTATCGAAATTGAATCGGTGCAATATTGAATATTTTTACAATTGAATAGTCACAACATCGATCATTTTAAAGACTGCAAAAATTTAATTCTGAAATTATTTTCGTTCAAGTTTTGGTTGTGAATTATGTCACTCTTTGCGGTTGACATAGGTGAAGGTGAAGAAAATGATATTGAAAAGCCCGTTCCGATCTTTTTAAAACGCAATGATAATGATGTTAGAGTAAGGAATCAACGTTATAAAATATCTCCAAAAAGAAGAAATAAACGTAGACAAATGAATAGTTCGAAATCAGTTAACGATTTAACTGAAAAGCAGATTATCGAATTCGAAATGAGCGAGCATTCAGCAGTTAATCCTTCTGATTTTGAACTTATCGACGAGAACCAAGAAAATGATAAAACAACAATTGAAACCCGCAAAGATCATCTAGGAACAGCAAATGAAATCAAAGAAACTGCTCCACTTCAACAAAAAACTGATCCTCATATTATTGATCAAGATATAAATGCAATATCTCATAAAGAACCAGATAACCAAGTAGCATTACATTCTAGTACGTTAATAAAGAATGAAATCACAGAATATTCTGTTACAAGAGAAACCAAAATGAGAATTAATGGAAAAAGCATATATTTTGTAATGAAACAGAATAACAGTACAGTATATGCAGCTAAATACAAACAAAAATTCGATATAATTCCAATATTTCGAGATTTAGAAAATACACATTTTCATTCAAAAGCAACTGATTATGTAATCAATATTGGTAAGGGAAATCATGATTTTTCCTTGAGAACTAAGACAAGAATCGGAAGAGAATTATTATCAATAAGATATTTCACTCAATACGATTTTCTTGCACGTAGCTCGATCCTAACTTTCTTCTCTATATCAAATTCTGATCCTTTTAAATTAGTCAGCTTAAATTATGTAAAAACAAAATTTGAAAAGAATTTTCCAACAAAAAGTGTTAAAAATGCAATTTATTGCCAGAAAAATGAAAATGATCCAATAATTCTTGTTAAAAAAGTTGGAAAAAATGAATTAATTATTCAAAATTCAATGAATATCGATCCGATATATCCATTTGCTCTAGCAATTTCAGCATTTTTGTGTTCAATTACATGAATTGTTTTGTTCTTTTAGAATTCATGAATATGGTTTGAAATCATATCATGGATTTCAAAAACGTCAGTTAAATATATATAAAAATTGTATTATTGTTCATATGACTATGATTTTTGCTGTGTTTTATCAGTTTGTTTCTTCTCTATATCTGCATTGGGTCAATAATAGCAAATACATTGAGAATACTTAGAAGCATATTACCCCAAACTGAGTTTCATCTTCGCAATGGTTAACATCTATCTTTCTTTTAAAAGATAACTACTAAGGAAAGAAAAATGTGAAAATCTTTTTTTGTTTAGAAGTTTGGAAAACTTACCTATTATATTCCCATTTTCTATCCAAAAAATACTGAGACTAGACTTTAAAGACACGCATGCTCCTATCTGACTTGAATTTATCGTTATTTGAACGACAACTCATATGTAACATATATGAAAAGAAATGTAAGCTACGTGAGTGTTAGTTCACTCATAAAATTTCTGCTTACAAATGAGGAGTTTTAATTTTTTTTTAGACATTAATAAGACTTGCACAGATTATTAATGTCTATCTATGATCATTCTAAGAATTAAAATGCTCAGTATTAAACACTTATGTTTGCAGATTTCAGGCTTTTCAATAAAGCTGCTTTATGAAATGAGATTCAAACAATCCAAAAAAAAAAGCTCTGATCATTTTAAAAGAAAAACAACTGTAATTCAACAAGATGACTATCTAAATTTCTTTAGAATAAATGTAATTTAAAATATAATTCAATAATCCAATTTAAGAAATTGAATATATACATAACAATATTACAAGACAAAATAAAGAAATATTAAGTACCGTGCAAAGAAGAATTTTCAAATTAAAATCTGAAAAGTTGAAATTAAAAAATTTATGCCTTATTCCAACAAAGGAATGAATCATTCGAGATCACATTCCTCCATGTAGGTTATTGCATCCCTTATTGTCTTTGTAAATTCATAATTTTTCAAACACCAAGCACCTCCGCCTCTTTCTAGCTGCTTTTCTTGTCTATTGATTCCACCAATGCAGTAGTAATCGTCGGCAATGCACCATTTTGAGTGGTCGTTCATTCTTCCCCAAACTTGTCCTTGAAACATCAAATTCAAAATATTTAGGGAATGATAAGATCCGGTACAGTTTGAATTCATCGTATTTATTCCTCTAGACCATGTTTCAGTTAAAACCGTTGTTTGTAGATCAGGTGCAAGTAAATCATGGTAAATATCCTTACCCCAGTATCTATGCTTTGAGTATAGACGAATGTAGTGTTCTCCTATGTTTATTTCTTGTATTCGAGTCATTTGATTATCATTCCATTCGGAATTGGAAAGTCTGATAACATTTGGTAGCTTTTCTTGAGTGTATGATGGAATGTTAGATGCATAGACGTATGGCTTTTCTATTAGAGCTCCTTCTGCCCATCCGTCAAGATCTTTATGAGTTAAGGTCAAGCAAAAGAAGCTTTGACCGTAAACAAGTCCAGTGCTTGCAAAAGAATAGGTGCTTGAGTCGTCAGGATCTTCAGGGAATTTAGGAGTTGAATGTTCAAGATAAATTCCATTATCAGAGTCAAAAATGAGGACACCTTTTTTGTGAGCGTATGTATCAGAAACTTTTGCTTTGTTTGGAGGTTGATCTGACATCATCATATATCCAATTTCCGGATTCTTAGGGAAAACATACTTTAATGTGTTGTATAGTGGATTTCTAGTTGTTTGATTTACACCTGATTCGGAGTCAATTAGCTTTGTTGTGGGATCCATGTAGAAAAAAGCTTCTCCAACTTCCCTAAGTGGAGTTGTATTAGCCTTTCTTGGCATTTTTAGCATGATATACCATTCTTCACTATCGTTATCAATGCCTTGACAGGAAATTCGGGAAAATGAATGCGAAATAAAGATGGATAACATTTCTGCCACTTTTTAGTTGTCACTTTTTAATTTTAAAATTTCATTGATCTCCAGTTCTAGGACTCATCTCTCTTTAATCAGCACTTAACTAATAGGATGTCTCATGTTAATACAGACTGATGTACACAGTAAATCCATTTTGATCAATATTCACTTTACAAGTTGATTTTCCCGAATGAAAACAAGAGAGAAATACTCACTCAGAATAGTTGATATATTTTTGCTAATTAAGATATATTTTAAGTCGAATTTACATTATGATTTGGGTATTTACTGATGAATTTAAGCAAAATGCTTTAATATATTATTTTACTTTACATGAAAAAGAAGTATGCAATACAGTCCTGGAATAAAACCTTTATTTTATACTCGTATTAAAATTATATGATTTTTCTCATTGTGTTCAATAAATACATTAAACAATGTCTTCATTGAGAAATTATGTTCCATATTGTCATGATATCTTCATAAAAAATTTTGAATAAATTAACAATTCAAAACAGATAGATTCAAACAAGGTAAATCTGTGCATAATAGTGCAAACTACTATTTTAAATCATGTTAATAATTCCAAAATTCTCATATTTTTTGGATTCAATGATAAAAATTGTATTTTTTCAATTAATTTTTACATTTTTAATTTTTTTTTGGAATTTTCACTTGAATCTTGAAGCATATCTGAGTGAAAACCATCATCATTCATATGAAAATTTGAACAATATTTCATTGTTTATTATCAAATCTCATGTTAAAAGGAAATTACGGTAAAATATTCTGCATAGACTCATCACTAGCAATCATATTACACAACCATTTATTTATCATATTAAAATTTATCGAATCATGATGCCGTTTAAATGGGAAATTCCAATATGAGAATTCTTTATTTAATAGGAAAGGAATTTGCTTTGTGAAATAGTATGTTATTAGAATTCGATAAGAATACAGATATCTTTTATTAAAAATAATATGATATAACAAATCAAAACAATAAATCATAATTCATCTTTTTTCTTTTCATCATCTTCTTCATTATTATCAATATTGTCATCTAAAGGCAGACCTTTGTCGTTTTCATCGACTAACTCAAAAGTGGCTCGAGATTCTTGATCATTTTCCGTCGTAACATTGGAATTCTGTTCATAATCTTTAACGCCGGGGAATATGTTATTTTGGCTACTGACAAGAGGCTTGTTTGACTCTTCTGTTCCTGATACTTCTGTTTTCCTTTTTTTATTGTTATTATTCAAGCCAATAAATGAGTACCATGTTGATCCGATCGTCGTAATAATGATTCCGATGATGTTTGACGTAGTCAGATGCTTATCAAACATCATTACTGATAAAACAATAGTAACAATCTGTTTAACACAACCTGCTATGGTCACTGTAAGCGGAGATGTATGTTGTGTAGCAAGGAAATTTGTAAGATTCAAGAAATATGCCATAACACCACTTAATAAAGAAAATCCAATGCAAACAACTGATGCTTTATACTTGGACTTAGGACCAAGCAAATGCTGTGGCTCGCCATCAACACAAGCTAATACGAACATTTCAATTGCCGAAAATGGAGAAATTCTTGCAAGTAAATCGGCAGATTTTAATGTATATTGACCTGATAAGCATAATTTAATTGAAATGGACTTGGCAGAGCTGAGAATACATCCGATTACTGTAATAATAAAACCTCTTAAAGTTAAGTTAATTTCGCCCATGCAGCTCAAAGCAACGCCTATTGAGATAATGAGACACGAAAGAATATGTTGCATGCCATATTTCTGATTCAAAAAGAAAAAGGAGAAAACCATGGTAATCATAGGAATAATTGCACGAACAACTTGAGTAAAAGCAACTGAGCAGTAGTTGAGTGATATATTTCCTGTTACGATATTCAGTGTAAATAATAGAGAAAGGGAAACTATTCTAAACATCACTGTTTTTTCGAACTGTTCGATGGGTATTCCGTTCTTGATTGTGACAGACTTGTCATTTTCTTTAGATAATACGGTACTTTCAAAGAAAGAAAAGAACGTTGAAGTGGATTGGTGCATAAAACTCATTAAAATAGGATATTTAAACCCCATTTTAGCGAGAATGCCTTTATTTAATAAAGTCAGTGATACGTTTAGCACAAACCATACCGAAAGCCATAGAGCACCGAGTCCTAATCCCATACAACGTTTTAAAAATTTTTGATCTAGCCAAAAAGGTTCAATCAAAATTAATATACGAAATATTTCCTGCACAACTAAAGCGTAAAATTTTGCAAGTTTGAGCTTCTTACATTTTGATTTTTTCAATTTTTTTGATCGAATTATGAAAATTCATAATCGTTATATTGAATATGCATGAGATTAACGAATAAGTGTTGAAAGGGAAGATTTGAGAAGGATATAAAGGACGATATAAAAAAAAGATTCTTATCTTAGTAAAATGAATAAAACCTTATGTAAAAATATTCGGTAACACCAGAGACCAATGGAGCAATTCATGTTCTAACATACATGAAAAAATACATTTTTTCGTGGATCAAGAAAAGGAATAAGTCAACAAATATAAAGAGTCAATCATAATCTTTTAAAATAGTTACAGTTTAGTATTAATAAACAAAGTTAAAAAACAAAATTATTTCTTAAGACGAGATTCGTATTCAGCAATTTGAGCTTTGAGCGTTTTGATCTTTCTTCTGAGCTCTTGGTTTGAAAATAAAAGTTTTTCGACTTCATTTTTGTCCGGTGCATTTAATATTGACAAAAAGAACGAGTATATTTCTGGCGGTGGCTTCGGAGAAGAATATAATGTGACAATAGCTTCTGATAATTGATCAAGTACTCCTGCTTGATCTAAAAGATCAGCATAGCTAACTTTGGCTTTTGCCATTTAATTTCACTAACGTATTTTTAATTAAAGAGGTGATTTGGAATTCGTAAATTTTCATTAAAATATACAATAACATAGCATGGTCATATAATATTTTAAATAAAAATGCTAATGATTGCAATTCCAATTTCTCAAATCTTGAAAACCACTTATTGTTGAGTTAATTTTGAAAATTTAATAAATACACGATAATTTAATTATAAATTTCATTTGTTGAGTTGATAGACGTTTATCAATTTTTAAAATCAGATGAATTTTGCTTCACGCATATTAAATTCTCCACAAGAAAGTCGGACTTCCAATGATAGGTTCTTATCACCTGTAAAACCTTCTCGTCCTCGATTATCTCTTACACCAGACGTAAAATTTTCAAAATCTTCCCCAAAATTTTCAGCAAAAGCATTCTCACCTTCTTCATCTCAGGAAAGATTTCATTCTCCTGGAAGAAATTCATTGTCATCACCATTATTTGCAAGTAACAGCCAAGATAGATTTAACAGTCCTCGTAGATCATCTTCTCGTGCCTCATTAGATTCCCAACCATCATCACCAAGTTCCAAAACCAGACACTATCCATCTAAGCCAATTCATATTGCAAAGTTTGAAGATATTCCATCTGATTTCTACATAAACCCAATGGATTGGTCTAGAAAGGATGTCCTAGCCCTTGCATTAAATAGTGGACTAGTATTTATCAATCCAAAAACATTCGAAGCAGAACTCCCTCCTCAAGCTCCAGAAGAAATTCTTTGCACAAAGTTTAATAATGCTGGCAATTTACTTTTTCTTGGCTGCTCAGATGGCTCAGCGACTATATATGATGCTCTCAGATACACGCCTGTCATGAATATTGATACATGCCAAAGTTCAATACTTTGCATTGATAATAATGATTTTAAATTCTTTGCCGGACATCGAAATGGACATTACTCAATCGTAGATGAGCGAAGCTGTGAAATAATCAATAATGTTGAAGCACATTTTGAAGAACTTTGTAATATTAGAGTTTCTCCTGATGGAAATAATATCGCATCATGTGGAAATGACTGCGTTGTTAAAATCTGGGATATAAGAAATCTACAAAAACCAAAGACAGTATTTGAAGACCATGAAGCCGCAGTTAAGGCTGTTGCATGGTTACCACATGAAAATGCAATCATAGCTACAGGAGGCGGAACTAGTGATAGAACAATTAAGCTTTGGAGAAGCGACACAGGCGAAGTATTGCAAAGTATTCAAACAGGATCTCAAGTCTGCAATCTCTTCTGGAATGAATGCTATAATGAAATTGTTAGTACACATGGATTTTCCCAGAATCACATTGCTGTTTGGAGAGGTGGTGATTTAGCCCCACTTGCATCTTTCAATACTCATAAGGAAAGAGTTTTATATATGGCTGCCTCACCAAATGGATCTAATATTGCGACAGCTGCACCAGGAGATAATCTTCAAATTTGGAAAATGTTTCCACCGAAGAATTTGTCTGTTTCAGAGTCTATTCTCCTTCTCAGATAATTCAATTTTTTATGATAAGTTTTTTTATTATTTTTGTTTGTATAGCGTAAATGTTTTGATAATAAATAAAGTAACAATAGTTTATTTCTTAATTTTTTTTCATATTTTAAAATATTTAGAAATACATCCATCTTTTTGATAGGAAACTTTCGAACAGTAGTTAGACAATCTAAATGTCAATCATTATCTTGATATAGTGCTTTAGAATAAGTTTTTCAGTGAGAAATTTTTGAATTGTTGTTAGACAATCTTTCTGGAACGTGGAAGCCATAAGCTAAAGATAATAGGTATTACTGTTATAGTCTTACTGGACTCATTTTCCTTCAATTTCAAAATGTTTTTTAAGGAACATAGATTATTATTTTGTTGAATATATCATTTTTGACATATAAAGAATATATTTTTGTGCTTTTCCCATGACCGCATTAGTTTTTATTGCGATAATTTTTTTGGAGAAATAGATTTTCTAACGAATATATCTTTATTAAAGTGTCCATATATTCTACACATGAATAATATCTTCAATTTGAATACAATCTCATTATTACTGTCAAAAAGAGCGCAAAATTCTCAGAAAAATTGAAAGCACCTGAAAAAAAATGAAAGAGAAATGATGGTAACATTAATTTTACTTGCTATAAGGTAACAAACATCTGGCTTAATTTTTGGACAATCGCAAACGCTTCTCACAAAAAATTGAAAATGTAAATATCAAAGAATTTGTGATTGTTAAGGTTTATTGCAAATAAATGCATATTTTTGATAATTTATCTAATCGAAGCGAGACTTCAAAATTGAGAGCATAATAGAATAAATTATGTAGATTATCAAATTCAAATTTATCAGTTCATTTTTCAACAAGAAAGACAGAAAAATGATCTCAGCAACATCAGTAAATGGAGTAATTGTTCATTTTCATGTTAGAGTATCAACATCATACGGTCAAGAAGTTCGTGTTTGCGGAAATATTCCAGAACTTGGAATTTGGGACGCAAAGAAAGCCATAAAGATGCAATTTGAAAACAATTTAGATTTCTGGTCAGCAGATATTAAGTTACCAAAATCAAATGAAGACCGTACCATTGAATATAAGTATGTTATTGTTAATGATGACAATAGCGAACAATGGGAGCCAGAACAGAACCATAAACTCGTTTTTGGAGCAATTAATGATGATTGTGTCATCAATATTGAAGATCACTTCCACTGGAGAGATAATGTCCTTGACGCATTCAGCCGTGCTACATTTGTTGGAGCCATAAACTCTCGCGAAAACCCAGTTCAAAGCCAGCCAATTACATTCAAGAAGAATGGAGCTCACATTCAGACATTCTTCTCTACAAATTGCCCATACGTTAGACCAAAACAGGTTGTCAGAATTGTAGGCAACGTTCCAGAGCTTGGCAACTGGAATCCAAAGAATGGTCTCGTAATGAGAGATGGATGCTTCCCAATTTGGACAGCAAACAAAGAGTTTGCCAAATCATCTTTCCCATTCGAGTACAAGTACGTCATTGAAAACACAGAAGATGGAACATTTTTATGGGAAGACTGCGAAAACAGAGTTTGCCCAGCTCCAGTTTCAGTTAACGAAAACTTAATTGATTATGTTCAGGACTGGTTCATCTGCCCGAACAAGAACCTCTTCAAAGGAATGGGTATTTATGTTCCCCTCTTCTCCCTCAGAACAAACGAATCACAAGGCATTGGCTCATACACAGATCTTAAGAAATGTGTCGATGCTTGCAACAAGATGGGCGCATCTCTTATCCAATTACTTCCAATCAACGATACAACAGAAAAGGGTGAATGGTGTGATTCATACCCATACCGCCAAGTCTCATGCTTTGCTCTTCATCCAGTTTACATCGATCTCCTTGCAATTACAGACAAGCTCCCAGCTGCAATGAAGAAGGAAATCCTTGAAGCTAAGGAAAAATTCGAGAAGTACGAACAAGTAGAATATCCAGCTGTTTTTGCTTTCAAGATGAAGTACCTCAAGAAGATTTTCAAACTTGAGAAAGAAAACTTTGCCAAGAACAACCTTGACAAGTTCCTCGAGAAAACTGGATCATGGCTCAAACCATATGCTCTCTTCTGCCTCCTCAGAGATGAATACAAGACAACAGAATTCCGTAAATGGCCAAAGTACTCCACAATTTCGCCAGCTGAACTCGAGAAAGTTTGCAAGGAGAAGAAGAACGAATTACTCGAGATCTACTGGATTCAGTATGTAGCTGACAAGCAGTTCAAGGAGTCATACGACTATGCAACAAAGAACCATGTTGCCCTTAAGGGTGATCTCCCAATCGGCGTCAACATTAACTCAGTTGAATGCTGGGCATTCCCACAGCTCTTCAGACTCCACATGTGTGCTGGCGCTCCTCCTGATGACTTCTCATCTGATGGACAAAACTGGGGATTCCCAACATACGACTGGGAAGCCATGGAGAAAGATGGATTCGCATGGTGGCGTTCAAGACTTACAAGAATGGCTGAGCTCTACCATCAACTCAGAGTTGACCACATTCTCGGATTCTTCAGAATTTGGGAAATACCACGCGAAACATGCGTCAGAGGTCTTCTCGGTCATTTCTTCCCATCTGTTCCATTTACACGTGATGAACTCAACGGAATGGGACTTTGGGATATCGACAGACTCACTAAACCATATATCAGATGGCATATCTTATGTGATAAATTCCACGGCGATGCCGAGTATGTTTCTCACAAATACTTCAACAGCAAAGGCTGGAATGCTCAAGATGATTACTATGATTTCAAGCCAGAGTTCGATAATGAGAAGAAGGTTCTTCAAGCTCTTGAGAATGACAAGACACTCTCAGATGAAAAGCGCGAGCATTACAAATACTGCCTCTTCCAACTCATTGGAAACGTTATTCTCATTGAAGATCCAGAAAACAAAGGTCTTTACCACATGAGAACTGAAGTCCTCAAAGATCATGTTGAAGCAACAAAGGAAGGACCAGTTGTCTACGTTTCATCATCATGGAACGAACTCGATGAAGGTCTTAAGCAGCGTGTCAAGGAAGAAGCTAACAAATTCTTCTATGAGAGAATGACCAACCTTTGGGTCCAGAAAGCCCAACCAAAGCTCAACATTCTCAAGAACGCAACAAAGATGCTCATCTGTGGCGAAGATCTCGGTCAAATCACTGCTGGAATTATCAAAGCAATTGATGAATCTGCAATCCTTTCTCTTCACGTTCAGAGAATGTCAAAGATTCCTGAAGAAGATTTCGATGATTACCACAAGTTTGGTTATCTCTCTGTTGCTTGCCCATCAACACATGATACATCATCACTCCGCGGATGGTGGGAAGAAACAAAGGCTACAAGAGAAAACTTCTGGTATAACATTCTCTTTAGACACGATGCTTGCCCAGAAACACTTTCTCCAGAAGTTCAAGAAGATATCCTCAAGCAAAACATCTGGTCCAACTCAATGTGGGCCATCTTCCTTCTTCAGGACATCACATCTATCTTCCCAGAGTTAAGACTTCAGTCTGCAGATGCCGAAAGAATCAACATCCCAGCCGATCCAAATCACAAGTGGCGTTATCGTTATCCATACAAGCTTGAAGAGCTTATTGCCAACGATAAGCTTAACAGCCATGTTATGCAGCTTGTTCGCGATTCACACAGAATATAATTCTTCATCACGCTCATTTTTAAATAAAAATGATCTTTATTTTTTTATTAATTTAGCAAAACGTTTCTTTAAAATAACTGATTTCAGGGGATCATCCTCACAATGATACTTTTATGGTGAATTAACTTTGACAGGAAAATTCTCTGGATTTTTCAATAAACTTCACAAAATCCAAAATCTCAAAATGGTTGAAAATGAAAATCCACTTATTCCAACTGCTACAGTGTATACTCAAGAATTGTAGCAAGTAGTATCAACAGAATGGATCGATAAAAGCTGCTGCGGAGGAAAATGCGACTGTTGTAGAATTGCTTATTTCCCAGCTTCTAAATTTTATATATGCGGACATTGGATACTTTCTATACCGAAGATTTTCCTAGTTATTTTCATTTTTCTTGCTTCAGCTGCATTATTTTCTTATTCATTATACATTCAACCTGCAAGTTGGCTTTTAAATCACAAAATACTTTTTAGAATCTTACAAATTTCTAGTGGGTTATCATTCTATTCTTATCCATATACATGGTCGCAAACCCAAAAACAAGAATACACATAGAGTGAAATGATGAATGGCGTTGCGATGTTCCAAGAACAAGTTACTTTTGCGAAATCAAATCCTTTGCCTCCAAGATCATCCTTCAGTGTTACTGCACGCAGATTTGTTATTAGAGCAGATCATATTTGCGCATATATGCAATCTTGGGTTGGCTTCAAAAATCATAAATATTTTATTCAAACTACACTTTGGTCAGCAATCTACTCTCTTTTATACATGGTTGGCCAAATCCCAATAATTTACGAAGGAATTAAGCTAATAATCCAAAAGAAAAAGGTTACAGTACAGATAATAATGTCATTAGTTATTTTCCTGACAGTTTTATTTGCAGCTTATATTGCTTTAATTTCATTGAGACATTTTACTGTTGCTATGATTAATCTCAGCCATAATGAAACAATTACAGAAAGATACAACAAAAAACCTCAAATTTACGACAGAGGATCAGCCTGTAAGAACTGTGAAGAGATCTGCGGAAGTAGGTGGCTATTCATTACATGGATTTTCCCTTGTTTCTGCTGTTATTATCCAAAAATGCCGAAATGGGATGATGAACACGATACTGGCGTTATTGACAACAATCCTCGTGAAGACATTGTTTAATGTATGTATATTTGTTTAATAAAACTATCCTTTCCAAAAAATAAATTTTACAAATTTTAGATTTTTTTTTTCAGATGAAAAATATGATGACATGCAGAAACTTTTGTTTACTTTTCAGATGAGAACGTGTTAGATTGCACGAATCACATGTTACTATTCACGAGCCCTGACTTCTTATCATATGATAAAGAAAACCAAATTAATTGAAAATAGAAATAAATAATTTGATTAGATTACTCGGTTCCAATAGATAATATTACCTCTTGCAAATGAGTACCGATATTTTAAATATTTATTCTTTGCTTCTTTATTAGTTCCTACAGAAATAAGATATTTAACAACCTTAAGATGATGTCCAAATGAGCGCAGTCTATCCAATATTATTCTTTGCTTTGCTTTAACTCCAACACAGATATGACTTTGAATTTATTTCCAAATGAGTGGATTATATATATATTTATCCAAGTCCATTATTTTTCCCTTTATTGGTTCCAACTGCATTGAGATAATGAACAATTTCAAGATGTACATTAAATGATGCCAAATTGAGTGGAGTATCTCCAAATTTATTTTTTGCTGCTTCATCACATCAATATAAGCATAATTATAATGATTCAAATATCTAATATTAATTAAATGATAATAAGTTTACAAACAAAAAAATTAAAAATAATTAATATTAAGCTCTAAGAGGAGGTAAAGGAGCCTGACGGGAGTGAGACATTCTTGGTGCTTGTTTAGAACCCATTACTCCTCTATTATTAGAAGCAGTTGTAACAGTAACAACCATTCTTGTTGATTTTTGAGCGATGTCAGTTCTTAATTCACCCCATTTTTCTGCGTCCTTTTCGCATTCAATCGATGTTTCGCTTGAAAGAGAAGCCAACTGTTGAAGGAGATTATCAAGTTGAGATCTTTCTGTTTCTAATTGACTCAAGAGACCATCCTTCACATGTTTGGAGTCTGTTTCAAATTCGTCTTTCATGTTGATCAGCATTGTTTCGAGTCTTTCATTTTCAAGATCAATCTCATTTCGGACTTTCATGAGCTTGACCTTGTAATCATTCTGTAGCTTCGTCAAAATATCAACATCGTTAGCATCAACTCTTAATTTCTGGCATTCTTCTTTGAGATTTGTTATTGTATCCTTCTGCATGTTGATTTTTGAGCGTAACGATGCCTCTTCGAGTTTCTGCCTTGACTTGGCTCCATTTTCGGCAGCTTTGGCTTTACTTTCAGCTGCTTTGAGCTTCTCATTTAATTGAACGATATCTCCTTTGAGAGAATCTCTTCTTCTTGTGAGCTCAACGGTCTGGTTCTCGATTTGCATCCTCGCCTTCTTGATTTTCTCGGCATTCTTCTTTTTGGTGTCATTTAATAAAGCTAATTTCGCTCTTGACTCGGAATCCACGCTATCGAACTTATCAGTCATCTCTCCTATAGTTCTAATATCACTTTCTTCTCTGGTGGCCGGGGAAACAGAAAAACCGTCAAAGCTCTCAATTTTTAATGGACTTCGAGAAGACTTTTTAGACGTATCTACACGGGAAGAAAGGCCCGACCGAGAGGTATCTTTCCTAGATCCGCCTGTAAGTTCTTGGAATTCTTGTTCTAAGCGAGCTTTCTGCCTAATTAAAGAATTTACTTCACCTTCAAGTTGTTTCTTGGAAATTTCAGCCTGATTCGAAGCATCTATCAACTGTTTCTCGAGATCTTTATTTTGCTCGGCATGTTTCTTCTGTACTTCTATTAATTCTCTTGACATTTTTTGTCTTTCTTGTTCAATCGCTTTTTTATTTTCGCTTTGCAGTTGTTTCAGTTCAGCTTCCTTATCAGCTACCTGTTGGTCGACTTCTTTACGTACTTTCCTTACTTGTTCCTCTTTTTTGATATCCATTGTAGATAATTCGCTTTTAAGAGTGTTTAATTCATCTGTTAAGCGCTGTATTGTTGAAGTATTCGATTTCCTTGATTCTTCTGTCTGTTTCTTTGCTTCTGCTTCTTCAATGAAAAATTTATCTGAATTTTGTTTAAATGTATCATTAAATTTCTTAGTTTCTGCATCAATTTCGCGCTGTATGATTAACTCATTCTCTTTAGAGTATGTAAGTAGTTTTTCTCGGTTTGCTTGAGTATCTAATTGATGATTTGCGATTTGTTCTGCAATTTCATTTTGAAGAAGCTTGTTTTTGACTAAAAGCTCATTTTTCTTTGTTTCATGCTCAATTGTCTTTTCGGAAATGCTTTCTCTATAGCCTTTTTCGAGATCTTGCATCTGTGACGTATTTTTCTTTTCCATTTCCTTTATTACAGCGTTTAAATTCGATACTTCTTCATCAGTTTGCGCTAGTTCGGTCTCTAAGTCTTTCTTCATTCTGTTGAAGGACTTCAAAAGTTCATTATACGAATTTTGTTTGAGTTGGTTATCGTTAATGATTTTTCCGACTTCTGACCTCACAACAGTATCTACTGTAGTTTCAATATACTTAATTTCATTTTGCATTTTCTTCATTAATTCATCATGTCGAGAATTTTCTGTTTCTAACTCGGATTTGAAATTATTCTCCATCTCCTCGCATTGAGTATCAAATGCAATTCGATGTTGTTGAACTGTTGCAGTAAAACTTTTTGTTCTTTTGCCTAATTCTTCGTTTATATGATCAACTTCTTCCTTAAGCTTTTCGAATTCTGGAATGGAAAGTTCCGCTTCCATTTCTGACTTTTTGTCTATTATTGTTTTGGGTTTGATAAGTTCCGCAGACCTGGAAAAAAGGTTTTTAACTTTTGATTCGAGAATATCTATGTTAGTTTTGTTGTTAAAAGGCCTGTGAAAGGAAATGTTATCAACTATTTGCTTATAATCACTCATAGTTGCCGAAACATCTTGTAGTATTTCCTTCACTTGCTCTTGAATCATTTTTTTTTTGAAAATTTTACTCGTTATTTTCGGATGTTATCGGCGCAGATAAATCTTCACGCCCATAATATTATCTTGAAATAGGTGAGATTTACGACCGACAATTAAAAGAGAAAAACAAGAACCATTTTATAATAAGTTTTGAGTAGCAAAAGGGCCAGCATGGGACTGATTTTTGCAATCTGACTTAATTTGTTATTATAACAAGTTTTTGAAGATGAATAAAGGGTATTTTGATATTTTTAATACATTATATAATCTAAAAACACTCAATAAAAGAGAAATTCAGTGATTATGATACCAAAAGTTTTTCACTTTTTCAATTAACCACTCAAATTTTGTAAAGTATTCAAAATAAAAATGAACATTTTTATTGAAAAAGTTCATAAGGAATGACAATTTTAAACACTTTTTGAATTTTCAATTCAAAAAGTGTAAAAAGGGTGGTAAATTTTATAATGTTTGATCAAGACATTCATCCAAAAAAATACAATAAATTGCGAAGTATCTACAAATATTATATCAATTCATACAGCACGTTGTATCAGCTGAAAACAGAAAAAGAAGAAGAATTAAAGTCAATTTACAAAATGATCAAAACAGAATTGATTGATTCAAAGAAATTTCTTCCAGAAAATGTAATTTAAGATGTTTTGTATATTATTCCGTATAATAATCGCTATTCAAAGTCATATTTATCTCTTGTCAAACTCATATTTGATGAATATCATGTCAAAGAGGTCAACAACGTCATGCCTATTTCAAACATACTGTTTTATAAAGAATTTGGAATTAAATTAGACAAACATTCTAATTTCGAAAAAATTAATTTTAAAAATCTCGATATACTTACAGAAAATACAATTTACAGAGCAATTATGAATAATGACAAAGATAAATTCATTATTTTCACGGAAAGAGATGAATTTGATAAAAATCAAAAACTTGAAAGCGATTTATATCCAAATTCTAAGAAAAGATATTCATTGCTTGCATTATGTTGTTACCACAGAGCAGTTGATTGTTTCAAGTTATTAAGATCTAAATTTAACTCGAAAATAACTCAAAAATGCCTAGAATTTTCATTTTTAGTAGGAAATCCAGAGATCATGAGCGAATGTTTGAAATATCAAACGCCAAATGAAAAATGCATGAAATATGCAATTATTTCACACAACATTGATTTTGTTACATTCTTAATGAATGAATACAATATAGAGATTGATTTAAAATATTGCGGAATACACAAAAATCTCGATTCCTTTTTAGTTTATTTCGATCAAACTAACGATATAAACAAATGCTTTGTTTATTCATCAATTTTTAATATTCCATCCCTTTTGGAATATTTTCTTTCTTTTGGTGCGAATATCAATGAAGAAAATGAAGTTGGAAACACCGCGCTTCATATTGCAGCATTTAATAATAGTATGGAAGCCGTCAAAGCACTTATTTCACATGGTGCAAATATCAATGAAAAAAATCGTTATGGAAAGACTGCACTTTTTTAGCAAAATGGTGTGGTTGTGAAAGAATAGCTGAATTCCTTATTTTGCATGGCGCAAAATAATAGTATTCTTATTTAAGATACTATTCATTGATTTTATACACCAAGTGACTAAATCCATATTGAAATGGAGCTGCAGAATTGAGAAATAAAGATGTTTAAACATGACCATCAATTTATCTATCATAGTATAGCAATTTATGAATACAATTTCTCTTTATTACCATAGAAATTTCTTGATAATTGTTATTAATTGAATAAGAATTAGTTTGTTTACTTTTTAAATATGTTTTTAAAAGTTACTTAGTTAGTTTTTATATAGTATGCTAGTTAAAGCCTCAATAAATAATCAATTAAAAAAATTATAATTTGTTTTAGAATTGCCAAAATGATCTCATAATCAAAAAAAAAAAAAAAAAAAAAAAAAAAAAAAAAAAAAAAAAAAAAAGGTAGTGGGGCTTCCAGGCACTTCGTGCCTTCTAGCCCTGAGGATGAATGAGTATAATGAAGTTTTTTTTTCTTGGGGGATGGCTTCCAGGCACTTCGTGCCTTCTAGCCCCCGAAGATGTTTAGTATAATGAAGGTCTTATATATACGGGTCTTCCAGGAGCTTTTCACAAATTATATATGTTTTCATGTTTTGTCAAGACTTCTTCGTAAATGTTTTGTCAAGACTTCTTCGTAAATGTTTTGTCAAGACTTCTTCGTAAATGTTTTGTCAAGACTTCTTCGTAAATGTTTTGTCAAGACTTCTTCGTAAATGTTTTGTCAAGACTTCTTCGTAAATGTTTTGTCATGATTTCATCGTAATGAGCGTAAATGACCCAAAAATATAATTTAGGTGAAGAGGTGAGATGTCACCCGTTTTCTCACCTGTTTTCTCACCTCATGAATTTTCATGAATTTTCATGAATTTCTTCGTAAATGTTTTGTCGAAACTTCTTCGTAAAAATGTTTTGTCAAGACTTCTTCGTAAATGTTTTGTCACTTTTCTGTCACTTTTCAGGTAAAAAACATTTTTATATATATATAAATGAATTTTACAAAACCACCGTTACCGTTCTTTGGAAATAAGAGTAGATGTAAAGATATTATATTGAGAGAACTTAAGAAACTACCGAATGGTCTAACATTTGTAGATTTGTTCGGTGGAAGTTTCTATATATCCCATTTATGTCATATAATATTCCCAGACTCAAAGATTATATGCAATGACTTCGACAACTATATGGACCGTCTCAAACATATTCCAGACACAAACAACATATTGAAAGAGTTAAAAGAAAAGATACCTATAGGTAAGATGGAACGTATACCATTAGATAAGAAAAATATTGTGAGAGAGGTTTTGAAAAAAGCAGAATATATAGACTGGGATAGTATATCTGCTAGACTATTATATAGTGGTTCTATAAGAGTTCATGACATTGAAACACTTATGTCAAAAGTTTTATATCTTAACTATACAAATGTTTTCAAAGAGAACATAGAAAAATATACTGAGGGTATAGAGTTTGTGAGATGTCATTGGACAGAGTTGTATGAAAAATATAAAAACAAGGAAAATGTTTTCTTTATAGTAGACCCGCCGTTCTATAACACATATGATTTTCAATACCAAGTAGACTGGACTTTGAGAGACTCTTTAGAAACTTTAGACGTTGTACATAACCATCCATGCTTTTACTTTACATCCGATAAAAGTGGTTTGGAAACCGTTATGAGATGGTTAGAGGACATACATGACTATGAGTTTAGATATGACAAGATAGAATATGAGAGAGGTCCTATAAACCGGAAAAAGTGTCATAACAAAGAAATTTTATTGGTAAGTAAATGTGGTTTGAAATAGGACTACTTGTTTTAGGTTTTTTCCATTGTGTCATTTACTTATTTGACGTGGCAGAAAGATATAGAGAATATGAAGATGAACCAATGCCAGCAAATGTTCAGCATATGTACTCGTAAGAGATATTTTTATCTAATATTAAATGGACGCACAGAACTTAGCGAATGCACAGCAACCTGGACAACCAAACCCAGAGAATATTCCAAATGAAGTTAGAATACAAACTGCAATGGCAAACTATGGTCAAGTGCCAACAGATGTACAAATGCAAACTGCCATGTCAAATGACGCTGCGTTAGGTTTGCCACCATGGTATGCAAATATGAGATGGAAAGAGTTTTATACAAACCCTGAAGTGGGATATAAACAACTCTATGCAGATGACGCGAACACAGGAGTTGACCCAGAGTATGTTTCTACCAGAGGAGAAACAGAATGTATGAGCTCCAGTTAAAGAATGCTATGGAACTCAACAGGAAACGTAAGAGACTAGGCGGACATTAGATTTTTACATATAGTAAAATGGGTTTCTTCAGTAGTATTGGAAACTTCTTTCGAAATGTCGGAAGAGGTATATGGAATGGAATAAAAACCGTAGGAAGAGGAATTTGGAACGGAGTCAAAAATATTGGTAAAAGAGTAGGTCAGTTCGTTGGTATTATACCTAAAGACCCTGAACCAGAAGAACAAGCTCCTGTTATACAACAGCCTGAACCTGCACCACAGTCAAGTTGGCAACCAAATCCAACACCTCAACCGTATTAAAATTATATTTTTACCGTTCGATAGTAGTTGTATATGAGACTAAGTTCTAAGTAAAACGCATGGTATAATGGAACTATTCTCTTTCTTCCATCTGTTGTAAACCATACTTGAAAGTCTGAAATACTTCCACTCGGTGGTTCATATAGCTTTGTAGGTTTTTCGTAAAAGTCATTTGCCAAGCATAAAAAAGAGTTTTGGGCGCCAGAAAATGAAGCATGAACGATAATAGCATCTGAGTCGAAAACATTTTCATATGTTCCATTAGGGTTTTCGACTTCATAAAAGTTCGGGTGTACTGGATATGCTGCAGGCTGATTTAACATCCTCAAAAATCTATACCATGCCAAGTTGTTATATTTTGTAGAAATATAAACGTCTTCTCCAAGGTCTTCTATTCTATTGATTTTAACAGTTGCATTTTTCCTGTCATAAACAATATCGAGATGGTACTCTCCTTCGTCAATGTTGTACTGTTTTGCATATTCGAGATAGATATCGTTTATTTTTTCTTGAAAAGCTTGAAGAGTTGTTTCTAAGTTTACAAGCAAATTCACTTGTAAAAGTTTTCCCTGTTCAAATTTCTCATACGTACGTTTTTCTTTGTTATAGTATCGAACTTCAAAAGCGACCGTAAATGGGAAACCATGTATGGCTTCTGAAATGAACTTCATTCTACGAAAGCCAATAGCTTTTGTGACGGATGGGTCTCTTAACCATCTAAGTGGGTAGTCAAAACGATAGCCTTCATGCTTTACGGTCTCTGTCTCAAACTTTTGACCGACATTAGTAAAAAGTTCATCTAATGGTTTAGTTGTAGCAACTCTTGAATTTTCTTTTTCTATTGAAAGCATATTTTATCTAGAATAAAAATGTCGAAAGAAACAGCGTCTATGAGAGAAATACAACACAACCGACAACTCATTGTGCAAGCTCTAAATAAGAACACAACAAACTTTTCAAACTATTCTAAGATATCTGAGTCATTGAAAGAAGGAAACTTAAAACTGACGATAAACCCATTGACAGACGAGTTTCTGTTTCAAGACAGTAAGAACCATACTGTTTGTATAAATCCAACAAAAGGAACTTTAAACGAGAAACCTATAAAAGAACTTCTTTTGAAAGCAGATGTTGACAACAAAGCTGACAAAGAGTATGTCATTGAAAAAGTTCAAGAAGAACATGACAGAGCAGATGCAACATATGCAACGAAAGAACATACTCATCCTGAACTAGCAGACAAAACATATGTTGACAATAAAATGTCAAGTGAAGTGACAAGAGCTGAAAACGAATATTCTAAAAAGACTCATACACATACCATTGCAAATATTACAAACTTACAAGAAACCTTAAACAAGAAAAGTGACGTTGGACATACACACGATTTCTTCGCAACTGTTGGTATAGAAAATATTGCAGGAACGGTTGAAGAACCTGATGGAACTGGTGGGGATGTATTAAATTGGAAACCTCCTAACTTTCCACAAGGTTTAACATCGGATGAAGACATAACGACGATGAAATACACTAGATGTAGAAATGTCTATGTCATGGAGGATGAAAACAATGTTAAATTCACTGCTCAAGATTTATATGATAAGAAAGCTGACAAAACATATGTTAACGATGAGTTAGATAAAAAAGCTGACAAAACATATGTTAACGATGAGTTAGATAAAAAAGCTGACAAAACAGAGCTTCAAACGTTAAAGACAGAAATACTTCAAACACTATATCCTATAGGTTCTATTTACACGTCAATGAACTCTACCAGACCAGAAGTAGTACTTGGTCTCGGAACTTGGACTCAAATAGTCGACAGGTTTTTGTATTGTGCAAACTCTTCAAAGGAAACAGGTGGAAGTAAAACGATTTCAGGTGAAAACTTACCTGCGCACAGTCACTACATAGATTTAAGTACATCTCAAGCAGGTTGGCATAAGCATAAATTTTGGGATTGGCACGCCTTGAAAAAAGGTAAAGGATATGATGTTAAAGACGACGTTCAGTTTGCTATAAATTGTTACTGGAGTGACACTCAGGGAGATGGAAACCATACATCGCGTTACAGGATATACACAAACAACGGGACAAAGTAAAGACTACATGCCACCTTACATGACAGTTTACGCATGGTATAGAATTGCTTAGTCGTCATTTTCAACTTCTTTAGCATATTCGTCAGGAGTTGTCTTATATTTGTTAGGAACTGTCTTTGAAAGTATACCACCTTGAACTTTGACAAGTTTGAAACGAGGTCTGACAATAGTAGTTTTATCTTCTGCTTGCAGTGTGTACATTTTGCCATGTTTGCCTAAAACTTCATAATATTCTCTTGTATACTTTCTTCTATTTTACGAACACGAACGTGAGTACCTGTCGAGTTCCCATTGTTGTCATAGTCAATAGTATTTTCATATGGGTCGCGTTTAGGTATTTCTATTTTTACTTTGTCGCCTTTCTTAAGTTTGAAGCCTGGCATTCTTTCTTGTTTGTCTCTTTTGACTAAACTATTAAATATATAGTCTTTCTCTAAGTCGGGGTTGTTTTTCATTTCTTCGGGGGAGTGGTTTCCCAAACCTTTTTGTTTACGGGTATTGTAAATATTTAAAACTTGTCTCATCTTTGCCATGGAGAAATGTCTGTATTTGTCGTCATATGACATTTCATTTGCTTCACCACCTTGTGGTTGGTTTAAGTCTCTTAAGATTTTTATACAACTGTCAATGACACCAAGAGCAGAATGGTTTTGGTCGACAATGAAATATTGGTTTACATTTTTTGAACGCAGATAGTTTTTAATATCGTCTGATTTGAAAGAACTTTCACAGTCAGATGTCAGTTTTGTTGGATGGTATTTGTCAACGAATATTGTCAAAGCAGTTTTCACATCTAAAATATTTTTGGACCATAATGGTATGGCTTCACAGTATCTTGTGTTTTGACCGACAAATATTAGCCAGTATGGTGGTCCATCTTCTCTATACCTCGGAATGTTTTCCAAGATATCCATAAACCAAGCATTTGGTGTTGAACTAAAGATTTTTACCATGAGTGCTTTCTTTGTTGCTTTAGAAACATACGGGTCCTTGTTTGGATTCGTCATTTTTACCCCATAAGAAATGGGTTTATTTGGCGCATTAGCAGGAGTTGCATCTAGATTTTTACCCGCAGTGGGAACACTAGCCAGAGGTGCATTTGGAATTGGAAGGAAGATTTTGAGTACATTAGGTATACTGAAAGAGAAAGCACAACCTATTATACAAACTGTACAGAAAGGTTGGGAGGTAGCACGAGATGCAGCAAATCTTATTCCAAATCCTGAAACAAGAGGAAAAGTTCAAGGATGGATGGACAATGTTTCCAGACAAGCAGGAAACTATTATAACAAAGCAAATGACTACTATAACCAAGCAGGACACTATATGGACCAAGGTGAAAGATTCTTTAACAGAGGATATAACCATGCACAACAGTGGGTAAACAATAACCAACCTCAACCGCCTCAAACGTGGGGAATGTAAAATTTTTTACTGAGATGAAATGAACAATACAGCATTGAGACAAATGGGTTCAAGATGGATTTGTCGACTTCCAGCAGTTACACCACGTGTTTGTCAAGTCCTCCCTATACCTCAGGAAGTTTTAGACCGACTTAAAAAACCTCAACAACCAGTTGAAAACAAACCAAACTAAAATTTTTTACTGAGATGAAATGACCGAAGAAGTTGAAACGGTAGATTTGACACCACAAACAAAAAGTTCAGAACCATTGTCAAAACCTGTCAAAGAACTTACAGATGAAGAGAAAAATTCAATAATAGAAAGTGCCAGGTCTGGAAATACAAACCCTAACTATAAAGTCACTTTTCATAGAAATGGAACGGCTAGTATCTCAAAAAAGAAACAGACTCTCACAAATAAAATATTGAAGTCTGAAGGAGTTTATGAGACAACAGATGGAAAAGTTTACTTCACCGACCAACAGTTCATTATAGAACATCTCATTGACTTAGAGTCGAAATATTCTAAACTTTACAACAAACACAAAAAGTTGAAAGGAAAACAAAAACAAATGGCATATGATATTTACGAAGATGTTGACGACACAACCATACCTGCAAGTGAGGTAAAGTCAGAGGAACCGAAAAGTGACGAAAAACCGATAGAAGAAGAAAAACAAAAAACTGAAGATAAACCAAAACCAAAGTTTAGTTTGGAAACTACTAAAACAAGCCAACCTTCATTAGCTGGTATGGGTTGGCGTCAAAGGCTTTTGGTAGCAGGTGGTTACGTAAAGTAAAGAGAAAAACATTTTTTTATTTTTATTTGAAATGTACGCTGAGTTGTTGGAGAAGACCGTTGGGAAACTTGTTTGTTAGATGAGAAATATGAAATGGCATACCATTTAAAACAAAATATTTTTAAAAAAACATTTTTTTATTTTATTTGAAATGTACGCTGAGTTTGTTGGAACAGACCGTTGGGAAACTTGTTTGTTAGATGAGAAATATGAAATTCACTGTTGTGAGTCATTTGAAGTCAGAAACAAAAAGACAAAAAGAGTTTTAAGCGGATGGGAGCGAAATGACGGATATGCTAATATGAAGATGAGTGGAAAAAACTATTTTAAACATGTTGTCATTGCAACTCATTTTATACCGAACCCTAACAATTTACCTTTTGTAGACCATATAAACCATATAAGAAACGACAATAGACTTGAAAACTTGCGTTGGGTCACTTGTTCTGAAAACAATAAGAACATAGGCAAATTTCGAGATATTGTATTCGAATTGTCGACGAACTAGAAGATGAAGCAATTGAAATTACAGACTATGGCGAGCATACGTTTGAGTTTTACTACTATAGCGAAGAACAAGACTCTTTCTACTTTTATACCGGCGTAAACTATAGGAAATTACAAGTATGTTTTACTAAGGCGGGCTATGCTCATGTAAACGCTAGAGATACAGATGGAAAATACGTTCAAATACATCTTAACAAATTCAAGAAGCTATATGGCATACCATTTTAAAACGTTTTTAAAACAGTATATTTTTACATATATTAAATGTTTCAGGTTGAAAAACAAAGAACAAAAGTAGCAGATACAAAACCGTTAGACTATATCTTTACAAACGCTGGTAGGAATATATCAGATGAAGAAATTTCATCCCGTACTTACAGGTTTGACTATCCAATTCGTTGGCTTCAAAGTCCTTCAGATGCAAAGGCAATAGGATTTAGAAGAGTTTTGTTTTCAAATAGAACTAACGCGTTTATGTTCGCGGTATATTTTCATGGGCAATATATAGGTTCTGATGGTCTAATAGACAAATTTGATGAAATGAGAATCTTTACAGTTCGTTCAGACGAAAGTCTTGAAAAAACTCTAAATGACTTTCAAACTCAAATAAACAAATACTACTGGGAATTTCAAGAAAAATACGACTCTTTACTAAATGGAACATACTATCTGAAACTAGAATACGACAAGATGAATTCCACAGTTTCATTTCAAAGGATTGAAATTAACCCTCGAAGAAGTACAGAGTTTTTATTTTGGGAAGTAGACAAACGTTCTTGGGCACAATTTCTTCGGTTACTAAACCAGAACGAACCATTGCCACCTGACGGTCCGTTTAAATTTATACGTCCACCAGCAGATTTGACAGTTTATAGAAACGTGTTTGACCCTCAAAATGTTATGTGTCATGCAAGTTTCAGTTCAAGCAACAATAGTTTTCTGTGTATCGGTAAGGACTTTTATGACTTTGCTTCTAAATTCTACGAACCACCTAGTAACAGTTTCTCTGACTTTCAAGTTTGGTTCACAACAAATGGTGTGCAACATATTATTCCATTGTACTATGACTTTTATCTCGAATTGTCTTTCATATATAACTACGGAAAAGTGCTGAAAAAGTATTGAAAAATAATGTTTAGGTGAAGAGGTGAGATTTCACCCGTTTTCTCACCTGTTTTCTCACCCGTTGAATTTTCATGAATTTTGTGCTGAATTCGACAAAAATGAGTTTTTGGTTGAAAAAAGAGGTGGAGCCAAAAGTGGCTTAACCTCAAAACAAGCATTTTGTGAAGAATATACCAACCCGCGGAATTCCGGCGGTTGCTTTTTATACAAAGTTCAACAGGTGAATTTTCATGAATTTCCTTAAGATAGAAAAAAATATATTTTAGGCGACCAGGTCACTCGGTCACTCGGTCATTTTAACTTCTCTGAAAAAGTGTGACAACATGACATTTTGACAACAACACAGGAAATAGATTTCATCGTATATTTTTTGTTAAGACTTCATCGTAAATGTTTTGTTGAGACTTCATCGTATATGTTTTGTCGAGATTTTTATCGTTGTGGTCCGACGGTTAAGCCACAAACGAATGTCCGACGGTTAAGCCACCAAAAAATATTTTTTATTTTTATTGTAAGAACTGAAATGACAGTCGAAGCAAAAACGTTCACGAACAAATCTAATGGCGAAACATTCACAAAAGGCACTTACAACGGTATTGAAGTCTTACGTAGAGACATGGATGGTTATGTAAA